TACCTAGACACAGGAGAACTATTGTCGTGAAAGTGTTGTACAGTCGATTACGAATTTAGATTGCAGAGAGTTTGTTCTGAGCGCTAAAGGCACTCACGATAGAGCACATTTTGCTTTATTCTAACACAAACTAGTTGTTGACTCGTCGCTTCACGGTACTTGACCCTTACAGCCGCTTATTCCACCGGCAATCGTATGCGCTAGATAGCATTTAACTGATTAATGTTTCAGTTATTATTATTGTCATAATTTTTGTCGTAGTTTGTGGGAAAAAGTCTACGACTAGTTTTACATAGTGCAGCCATAAATGTTATATTCCTAGCTGAACCCACCATTCGCCACAATTTTGACATTTCGGAACATCTGTGAAGACCCAAAAAAAACCTGCGAAAAATTCACAGAAGTTTCGGAACATCTGTGAAAAATTCACAGAGATTTCGGAACATCTGTGAAAAATTCACAGAATTTTTGACCCAGACCACCAAGCATTGCTTGCGCACAACATTAACCGTTTTTTCCTCTACGGAAGTTGTATGGTGCTTGTACGAAAGGGCATGCGTGCACGCATGTTCTGTCTAAACTTCACGGCAATTTCGGAACATCTGTGAAGACCCTTAAAAAACCTGTGAAAATTCACAGAGATTTCGGAACATCTGTTGGTCATTCACAGAGATTTCGGAACATCTGTGAAAAATTCACAGAATTTTTGACTCAGAGGACATAAAACAATAGTCAATTAGGGGAACTGTCTGTAATTTAACGACCTACGACCAAAACGCGACGATCACCGACCAAGAATGAATTCCACGAGCAGTGATGATGTCGGATCACAGATCCCCGTGCAGAAGGAGTGAGCAAGCCAGTTACGCCCCGATTCCAGTTCAGATTGATTCACACCAAAATGCGGAATATCCCAGGGATACCCCTCGGATTGGTGTGAAACCCATTTCAGATGGGACACGGGAAGAATTTTTGCACCCCTGCAGCACGGGGTTATCAAATTCTAGCTCAACAATGTATGTTCATCATTTAACCGTTTTCTGATCAGAGGCTGATTCGAGGCTGATTTTTAAAAAGACGTAGGATATATACTAGCTCTACATAAAAAACAAATATTTTGCCAGTATCGCCAGAATTACCCAATATTAGTTGATTGAGTTCGGTGATATGAAGGCATTGTCGAAATCAGACAAAGGCCCATCACTAAATACAATAGATAAAGAAGCACTTTCCTAAGTGGAATTATTTTGTTGGACCACTACCACATCTACGATCTTATGTTTCCCAGCAGTCAAAACTTGTGTAGGACTGTGTAGGACAAGTACCAGGAAAAACTAAGAAATGCCTTTTGTGAAATGTTGAAATCTCATAGCGCCTTCTGACAACGATTTCCACTTACGGAGGCTTATTGTACCCTTTCTATGATATAAAAGAGTTTTTGCTATGTGTTCAGTTCTTTGGTGGCCATATTTGGTAAAGGGCATTTAGAGTTTACAATTGTGGTCGGTGGAGTCAATTTTACGTAGATTTTGTACCATATCCACGTGTTTGGGTTTTGTGCAGCTCGGTCAGGAAACGGTTAAGGGGATCCTAACTATTTCAGGGTCCAAAACTAATATTTATAGTTTATTTCTCCGAAAACATTTGGTGATTGATTAACGACAAAACTTTGTCGTAATTTTTGTCGTAGTTTGTCGTAATTTTTGTCGTAGTTTGTCGTAGTTTGTCGTAATTTTTTGGCGTAAATTCTCTACCATCAACTGAGCAACTACAACAAAATTTACGACAAAATTTACAACAGAACTAAAAAAGTAGAGAGAATTCTTGGCTCGCGCGCAAGCATGACGTGAAACAAATCAATCGAAATGAGCCACTGTGTTGCCTTTTCAAGTGAGGCCTGAACAAGCACAGCAACTGCCTCCAGCACAAACACATGGTTCTTCGGATCATGATGATAAGTCGCATCAAGGATTCGATCTTCCATTCAAACTCTCCTGTCTTGCTCGCAACTTGGATTTGAATTCGAATAAGGGTCCAGGATCAGCAAGGCTGGGGAGGGCAAGCTTTGCATTGTTGCCTGCCGTCTTTTTGTCAGTGTAGACTCTGTTGCAGACAACAACTTTTCCTTTTGGAACCTTTTCCCGTAGCCCTCCATCTTCTGCAAAGATTTCCCGATCACCCATAGCAACCCTCTTTGGTCCGCTTATCCATACGGTCTTGCGTTGGGGTCAAAACCTTGAAAAGAGCTCTTCCAGATGGTTGATTGCACGAGTCCTTTTGCTGTATCTGTTCCTTTGTTGAAATGCCATGTCTGCGAATTATCCATCCATGCTTCATGGCCAGCATATTTTCCAGCAAAAATCTGGATCATCTTGCCTTTGAGAGCGTGTAAATCTACCATCTTTTATCTTATGATGATTGTTGCATGGTATTTTTCCTCCGTCGTACTGGGTACAGTGTACGTGTACTTGTTGACAATGAAACAGAGTTGTTGGTGTTTTCAACATGAAAGTATTTGAAATTCTCTCGGTCATCGCTAATGTTGAAACGAAGGGTCCGCGTGCGCGCAAAGGTAGATTTTGTCGTAAATTTTGTTGTAAATTTTGTCGTAGGGTTGTCGTAATTTGTTGCAGGTTTGTCGTAATTTGTCGTCGCTTGTCGTAGCTTGTCGTAAGTTGTCGTAAATTTTTTACGACAAAATTTACGGCAAAAGACTTGTCGTTTTAATTGTAACTCCACTGTTTCGGAGAAATAAAACAATGTTTTGCCCCCTAAATAATTCTATGTACCCGTAAATGATGGAGGAATTCGATGGAACAAAGTGGAGCTTGAATTCGATGTCTCCGTGCTGAGGGGGGAGGAAAGTCTGTCTGGCTCCCGTCACACTTTCACTACAATCCGAGGCGTGTCCCTGGATCATGCATAAAATAAATGACGATGTATCATTCCCTGATTCGTTTCAGTATACTCCTCTTCTCCTTAGTTGAAGGATTCGCTCCACAGTACCAAGGCCTCCAACGAGATGCAAGGATCCTGTGTGCCAACGGAAATAAAATGGATGATACGTTGAAAACATATTCGCGAAAACATGCATGTCAACTTCTTCTTGGAGGTTTGACAAGCAGTGCTGCCTTAGTGACCCCCAATGCAGCCAGAGCCGAAGTCAGTTATCAACCAGCTTCACGGCCAACTTCATACCGCGTCGATTCTACACAACCTCCGACGCTAATTCCAGTAGGCTCAGCTAGGAAAGAAGCACAGGTATTAGAAGATCTTGGGAAAGGATACGGAACGACGAAAGCTGTGATCCTTGATGATCGTGTGAACCTCAACAATGTCTTGAATAAGGCAGTCTTTGGTACGATCAGTGCTCTTTCGGGATCAACCAAAGGGAAAAGGAAGAGTGGAACATCATTTGTCTGCTTCGGAGTCCCAACGAAACCTACCCCGGTCGATATCGACCTTGCAGTAAGCTTGCTCCTGCCAATCCTAAAGGCACGCAAAAGAGATACAGCAATTGGCATTCCCTTTTGTCCTATAAGCGGTCAAAGTATTCTTGATGCGTATGCTGCAGAAGGGAATGAGGAAAACCTTCTTGCTTCGCTTTTGCAGCTAGGAATACCCGAGAGCCAAAGTGTTCTATACCTACCGCTAATGATGTTTGCACGAAGCAAATCGTTGAGGTTACTAGCGCTTTTACCGGAGAAAGATGACATTCTAGTGACTCGAATGAAGGGCCTGCAAAACCTCGAAATGGAACGCAGAGCCAGCTATGTTTCCGATACAGACGGCTTCATTTCCACGTCATCGGAGCCAAGCTTTCGTCTCTATGCTGAAAAGTCACTGCTCAAGGACTACATTCCGATCAACGACGAAGACAAACCCTCAGGCTACTTTGCGGAGCGAATCCTAGTCCATGAAACTGCAGCAACTGTGGCGTCGAAATACGCTGCTACTCGCCCGGATTCCCTTGTCGTTATTGCAGCTCCAATCAATGATCTCCGTTTCCTGCGTGGCATCAATGGGCGCATTCCACGCGTGTACAACTCCCTTGATGTTTCAGGAAACAAGATAACAGACGATTATGTCACAACTATACTTTTGAATCCGACAGCAAACGATACGTTATCAAAGAGTCGCTACTTACGATTAGAGATCGGTACGGGGCCGGATACTCTTGACTTTCAAACAAAGATCGCAGACTATCTATGGTTTTCTTCGTCGCCAAAGGTAAATATGATTCCACGCTTAATGAATGGATAACAGAAAATATTAAATGCGTTCCTAGCTATAATCTGCCATTTTTGTCAAAAAACCAACCAATGTCAATCTACTGCGACTTCGACAAAATAAACGGTTATATTCATTACTTCAAAGAAAGTTCAACTGTTGAATGATATTTTCTGGTGTTCTATCTTCCAACAAGCTCTGGCATCAATGCAACCAACTCTCCTTCTTTTTCATTCTTCAAATCAGATAGCATTCCATGCTGAACAATCCTACCCTCCTTGAGAACAATAACCTTATCCGCAAGCTCCAATGTATTGATACGATGGGATATTATCAACAAGCCACGGTTTTGTTCTCTACAAGCTTTGACGACATCGTTGACAGCTGTTGCTCCTTCAGAATCGAGCGCCGATGCCGGTTCGTCCAGCACCAGGAACGGAGCATCAGCAACAAGAGCTCTCGCGAGGCCAAGCCTCTGGCGCTGCCCTCCAGAAAGTTTCGATCCATTTCTTCCCACATTGAATTCTGCACCTCCATCCAACATGGAAACAAATGTATCGCAATTTGCCGCCTTCAGAGCTTCAGATACCTTGTTGCTTGGGGCGTCAGGACAGCTATATCGAACATTCTCAATGATTGAAGTGTTGAAAAGTACTGGCTGCTGAGGTACTACTTGCACAAGCGAAGCTTGGTGTGACCGATCGATATCGTTGACAAAGTCATATCGTGTAGTCACAGGCTCGTCTTCCGACGGAGACACAATCTCAACAACGATCCTTCCATTTCTTGGAGAATATAGTCCCGCAAGAACCATTGCCAATACTGATTTCCCACTTCCATTCTGTCCTGTCATTGCCACGACCATCCCACGCTGCAGCACCATGGAAACGTCTTGAAGTAGAAGACGATCGTGACTCTGAAAAGTGAACGAAACCTCCTCCATTGAAATTGATTTGACAAGCTGTGGATCGATTGATTGGCATCGAGCCGTCATCTCGACTTCTTCATTTTCTACCAAGGGGTAGGCAACACTATACAGGCGCCGAGCGCACCGCATACCTCTCATGTACTCGCCAACTGCCCTTGCTAAACCAGCTGATCCTAGCGCGAGCATGAAGGAGTATGTGCTGAAACTTAATAAGTCACCATGTGTCATTCGCTTCGTTTCGACTGCCTTTCCACCAGCGAAGAGGACGCCGCAGAGTGCCGAAGTACTCAAACAAAACATCGCTCCCATTGATAGGCCATCAGCGAGTGCAGATTTGATTCCAAACTGTACATTTTCGTCCTGAATTTGCCCATAGTTTACGACCTCATCTTGCTCACGATTTGACAACCTAACCATCATAATATGATTCAATTTATCCTCAACGAAGGCTGCAGCACTCAGAGCAGCTTCTTGTTGGCTTGATTGCACCCGCTTTAAATATTTTCTCGAAAGAAATCCAATCGATCCAACCACTGGTGCGACTAAGATTGCGAGGCAGACAAGCTCTGGGTTAAGTGACAGCATGTGGTATGTTCCAAAGACACAAGAGCTTGTGGACCTCAGCATGTTTGCTAGTGTTATTGTAACAGTGTGCGAAGCTGTTTCAACGTCATCTCTTAGAAAAACAGCAACTCCAGCTGGTGTAAGCTCCTTTTCATTAACCATGGAGTCTATGTTTTGCTGTAGTTCCTTGTCTTCGTTGCTTTTTTCGCTTGTGGTCGTCTCGTCGCTATTTCCATTACAGCTTTGCAGGGCTTGGAACCAATCCAGCTTTCGATGAATCATCAGGCTGGCAAAGGTTTCCCTCCGAAGGTTTGCAGCGATAAATTCTTTCGCTGAATTCAGCATTACTGTCCTTGTGAAGCTAGCTAAACCACCAAGCAGCCCAACAGCAAGGATGTTTGAGAATAAGGAGTTGCTTTGATGCTTTGTGTCAGTTTTGGGGTCCACCAACCTTCCCATGAGGCGTGGTACAGCTTTTGTGAAGAACACAGAAAAAGTTGTTCAGACTTCCTCCTTTCATTCAGCGCGATCAAAGCAGATGGTGCGTTTTACCTTGATTTGCGTATGAAGATGCCATCATTGCTATTGCTCCAACGGAAAGGGTCAACTTCTGTCCCATCACTTCCGACCACAGCCACTCCTCGGCTTTCTTGTAGTCATTCGATCCTTTCATTTTGAGTACCAAAGTGGTCCTGTAGATGTACAAAAGGCTTCAAAGCAAACTAAAAAATTGTAATTGAGGTTTTTGAAAAAGGTTGTGAGACATCAGGTCCTCATCATCTTTCTCACTTTCAAATTGCCTGCCACACCTAAACCTTGCAAACACGTTTGTCTGTCTGTCCTCACTACAGGTACTTTTCGTTTGTCAGCCAGCCGAGAATGTCGTTTGCGACGGTTGTTTCGCGCCATTGTCATGGCATCCAGCATTGGAATTCATCCCTGCTTCGAAACCCAGTATTGTACTGTACGGCTGTTCTGACAAACCCCATAAATACTTCCCGGGATGTCATCATCCGCCGATGAAGAGCACTCTAGAGGAATAGGAACAAACGCGTCACCGTTAACCAGGGAGGAAGGACGACTGTCATCTGCGTTGAACGAGAGGAGAACACTGCCGTCTCAAAGAAACGATGATGTCATGGTGCCTGCAACACCCGAACAAGCCAACGGAGGCGAAGGACTGCCCAATTCTTCTGTTCGGCTATCACCCTCTAGTGCCATAGAGAGAGATGACAACCATTCTCTTGAGGACGTGGATTCGTCGTTTCGTGGTCGTCATCAACATGATGAAGACGACATTCAAAGTCTTCATGATTCGCAAACCCTCGCCCGCGGGACAAATGTCGACATTCGCATAGCTGCTGCAACTTTTCGGGATTTTCTCAGAAACTTCAGGGCACTCCCGCTATTCAGCGATTCGTCAGATGATGACTCGGTGATGAGTGATAAACCGACTTCTCCACCCTTTTATTTGGAAAGGCTGGAGTCAATGGCAGGCCATACCGCACCTTCCAGTTTGGATATTGATACCATGCACCTGTACTATCACAATGAAGCATGCCAGATACTCTATCATCAACTGGTGCATTACCCAATGGAGCTTGTACCACTCTTTGATTTGGTGGTGCAAAAAGAACTACAGCGTGTTGTTGATCTGGAACAGCACCAGATACCAGCTATTCAAGTGCGGCCGTATAATCTCAAAGAGGTTTCTAATTTGCGCTGCCTTGATCCCGTTGCAATGGATTCAATGGTTTGCCTGAAGGGGATGATCGTTCGATGTTCTCCTATCATTCCAGATTTGAAGGTTGCTCACTTTCGATGCGTCATCTGCGGGCATGATCAGCAGGTTGCGATTGATCGAGGAAGGATCAACGAGCCTGCTCAATGCAGTGGCTGTCATACGAAAGATTCCTATCAGCTCTTACATAACCGATCTATATATGCCGACAAACAATTGGTTCGATTGCAAGAGACGCCGGATCAGGTACCCGCGGGTCAGACACCGGCTTCCGCAGTCACTTTTTGCTTCGATGATCTTGTGGACAAATGTCAACCAGGTGATAAAGTGGAGGTGGTGGGAATTCTTCGGGCTCAACCAGTTCGTGTCAATCCCAAGTTGACGAAGCTGAAATCAATCTACAAGACATACGTTGACGTGATTCACTTTCGAACCGTAACTGGAATGGAACGCGAAAAGGGGAAGTATGCTTCGACAAACCTAAGCAAAGAAAGAGTTGCATATTTGCGAAGCATTGCCAATAGACCGGATATCTATGCTCAACTTACACAGTCGCTGGCACCTTCAATTTGGGAGTTGGACAATGTCAAAAAGGGTGTGTTGTGCATGCTGTTTGGTGGCAATAGTCGTCGTGTTGGAAGAAATTCTGAGGCTGCAGAGGATTCAGAAATGGAAAGTGAAGGAAACACTGAGGAAAATGTCGACGGCCACGACGAAGAAGTAAAGCTTTGTAAAAGAGGTGACATCAATATACTACTCTGTGGTGATCCTGGAACATCAAAGTCGCAGCTATTGAGCTATGTACACAAGCTAAGCTCTCGTGGCGTTTACACGTCTGGGAAAGGCAGTAGTGCAGTGGGTCTCACCGCATCGGTGGTCAGAGACCCTGAAACTCGCGATCTTGTACTCGAAAGGTAAGTTGAGTCAACTTGGGGAACTAGATATTGTCTATGTTCGTTGCTTAGTGGCGTTCCTCCACCTGGCAGTGGTGCGTTAGTTCTGTCGGACAGGGGTATATGTTGTATTGGTAAGGCCTATAGTATCTGTAGGAACTTTCATCGCGTCTTCTGACTTCACATTCTTCCTTTGCCCAAAAGATGAATTCGACAAGATGTCTGATGCCGTACGTCTAAATACCATTTGTAACAGGATCCGTCCGTCTTGCTTTCTTACCAATCCCATTTCTTGACAGACTCGATCAATTCTCCATGAGGCGATGGAGCAGCAGACAGTTAGCATAGCAAAAGCTGGAATTATTGCCTCTCTTAACGCTCGAACATCAATACTGGCATCTGCAAATCCTCTTGAATCAAGGTATAACCCCAATCTCAGTGTAGTTGAAAATATCAGGCTCCCCCCTACACTGCTGAGCCGCTTCGATTTGATTTATCTGATTTTGGACTCTCCAAACGTCGATCAAGATCGTCAACTTGCACAGCATCTTGTGGGATTGTATCATGCAGTCCCAAGCGTTAGAAAACCTCCTTTGGAAACGGACCTTTTGAAGGACTACATTGACTACGCCCGCGAGCATGTTCACCCTGCCCTTAGTGACGAGGCTGTGGATCAATTGTTAGCAAGTTACCTTGAGTTGCGAAATCCTCCCGGGGGAAATATAGGAAATAATGGTACCCGAACAATCTCAGCAACACCCAGGCAGCTGGAGTCTCTTATTCGCACGAGTGAGGCGCTGGCAAAAATGAGATACTCACCTATAGTCACTAGAGAGGATGCAAAAGAGGCCGTCCGACTATTGAAAGTAGCGACACAAGCTGCCGCAACAGACCCAAGAACTGGTCGGATTGATATGGACATGATCAATACAGGTCGAAGTGTCTTGGATAGGGAGTTGGAAGAAGGCATTTACATTGGGCTTAAGGAGTATCTAACCGAGGTAAGCTTCGTCTTCGGTTCCAAACGAATCTCGTCTTTCTTTTTTAATTTTGAAGCTAATACGATTTGTCTCAAAGCGACGAGGTACTAGACTAGCATTGCGGGACATTGTGAATCATCTTTCTGAGGTATCGAACCAGCCAGTATCTCATGATGACATTTCAGGCGCACTCCATCAAATGGAGGCAGACGGTTTCCTTCAATTCAACGAACGGACGCAATCTGTATTTGTGCGCACTAGACTCGGCACTTAGTGATCTGATCGAACTGAGAGAATGAATCCTCAAGACAGCAGACCTGGATCTTGGAATCCTCCATTCTTCAATGGAGCACATGATGTAGACTTGTCGCTGGTTGATGTCGAATATTTGAAGTGGGATAGTTTCTGTATTCATATAATACTACCTACTATAATACCTGATACTGTTTAACAGCATCTGTATCAAAACTCTTATTTTTGTAGAGGCAAGAGAGACGACTGGCAGACCCTGCAAATAAGATCGAGAGACACGGACACGTGGAATTTTCAAGATATTACGGTATCCAGGTACACGTACCGATACAGTAGATAAAAATTGAATCAACAACCATCACCAACCTTATTAATTTTTAATCATACATACCGGGAGAAAAAATGAGGCTCGTAGCAGCTCTTTTCTTCACTTCTTTATGTATAGAGACTCCTTGCGCTGCATTTCTGAACCCCCTTCAACATGCCAGCAGAGGTCGCTTTGAACAAGCTCTTGCTTCGGTGAAACCGGATGCTGGGGTTACGTCATCCTCCGATGCTCAAGGCCTTCCTTTTTGGTGGGAGGCAGTTTGGGACTTGGATATGATGAAAGCAGGAAATCCCGGTGAAAAGGTGAAGTTTTCGGATATCGCTAGAGTTTTCAAGTAAGAAATGGCTTTTGAATGCCTGGAAATTGCTATTGTAGTTTGATCCAACACGATTCTCTTGTTGTATTGGCTGCTTTCACAGGTCCAACATCGAGCAAATATACGGTGGTGTAAGTCACTGACGAAACAGATGCATGCCTCAAGCATGGCATTTAATCAAGACCTTACCTTCGTTGTTTCACTAGTATGCAAGCCTTGACGGGTGTCCATTGGCAGAAGGGGAACTTACCGATATTGCAGACGGCACGATGTTTGTGGGCTTGCAACAGTACATGAGGGATTACGGCTCTCCGTACAAGCTCTGTTTCGGTCCGAAATCATTCTTGGTAATTTCTGATCCCGTGCAAGCGCGACACATGCTTCGGGACGCAAATGCAAACTATGACAAGGTACAGTAGGACGAGGTGTTTCTGCTTTCTTTGTTGTTATTTAGAACCGACGTTCTGAGCATCAATTCTTATACATAGGGTGTCCTTGCAGAGATTCTGGAACCAATCATGGGCAAAGGTACGGCAGATTTCGATAGTTCACTTCGGGCAGTTCGTTTGCGTTTTCAATTCCTCACTGTGCATCGTAGGCCTGATTCCTGCTGATCCAGAAACATGGAGCGTTCGCCGCCGCCAGATTGTTCCTGCATTTCACAAAGTAAGAGCTTCTATTTTATTTTTTACTTTCTGCTACTCGACTTGACTTGACTTCTGAAGGCTGCTTACATTGTTTAACATTTGGATATAGGCTTGGCTAAAATACATGGTTGGTCTTTTTGGTTTTTGCAATCAACCCCTTATTGAATCTTTGGATAAATTGGTGAAAAAAGGCGGAAAGGTAGAAATGGAAGAAAAGTTTTGCTCTGTTGCCTTGGACATTATTGGAAAATCTGTTTTTAATTACGAATTTGGGTCGGTGACTGATGAGTCACCAGTGGTAAGAGCAGTCTATTCAGCACTTGTCGAGGCAGAGCATAGATCAATGGTAAGAAAAAGATCATGGGATTGCTCAGTTATTCCTCCCACCTGATCTCAATGCTCAATCTGTAGACACCGGCACCATATTGGGATCTACCGTTTGCCAATCAATTGGTCCCAAGGCTGCGAAAATTCAACGCCGATTTGAAGATTCTGAACGATGTACTAGACAACTTGATCTCCCGTGCCAAGCAAACTAGATCTGTGGAAGATATCGAAGAATTGGAAAAGAGGAACTACGCTGAGGTCGATGATCCATCAATGCTTCGGTTTCTAGTCGATATGCGTGGTGCTGATATCGATAATAAGCAATTAAGAGGTAGGTGCATTTGTATTGCCCATCGGGTCGTTCGTTCCATTCGACGCATGCTGAATGGCTGTGCTTTTGATTCAGACGATTTGATGACGATGTTGGTGGCTGGTCATGAAACTACTGCGGCAGTTTTGACTTGGGCGTTGTTCGAGCTGACAAAAAATCCTGCTTGTATGGATAAGGTGCGCGAGGAGATTGACAGGGTCGTCGGGGATCGAGAGCCGACTTATGATGATATAATGGAAATGAAATATCTCAGACTAGTCGTTGCAGAGACACTTCGTCTGTATCCACAACCTCCGCTTCTGATAAGGAGATGTCGAACGGAAGACAATCTTCCCAACGGAGGAGGTCGCGAGGCAACTGTCATCCGAGGAATGGACATATTTTTGGCATTGTACAATATTCACAGAGACGAGAGATTCTGGCCCAACCCTGATGAATTCGATCCCATGAGATTTACCAGACCCTATCAAAACCCCGACGTCCCAGAATGGGGCGGTTTCGACCCCAAGAAATGGGAGAACAAGCTCTGCCCGACAGAGATCGCCTCCGATTTTGCGTACCTACCATTTGGGGGAGGGCAAAGAAAGTGTATAGGTGACGAGTTTGCAGTTTTGGAAGCAGTTGTCACACTCTCTATGGTACTCCGTCGTTTTGAATTTGCTTTCGATGAGTCGAAGATGACAAATGTGGACATTGCGGACCATCCAATGAATCTTGAACATCCAGTTGGTATGCGCACCGGAGCAACAATTCACACAAGAAGAGGACTGAACATGGTTGTGAAGAGAAGAGAAATTTGAATTCGAAATATTTTCAATTTCAGATAGCCAAAATGACATTATTATAAACATTATGTTTGAAAACCTCATTGCTATTTTGCTTTGATCTCGTTCGAGAAACATTTCCTGCCAAACCTAGTCGTCCAGCGATTTGCCGCTCATTTCATACACGTTGTCCAAACGATCCAAGTTTAGGTGGACATCAAACATAATTTCATTTGCTTTCAAGTGTTGACTATCAAACCGTTTCTTTCAAATTGACACGAGACAATTAAGTTGGCAAGTTGCAAATTGGACGTCGTACTTCAATTTGCTACTTACTTCAGTATCGTCTATAAATTTGAACACAACTTCGGGTGGATCAGCCGTTCCCAAAACGTGAGTTTTGATACTTAGGTTGGGGTTCGCGTTGTGGTATCGAGTCGCTTGAAGCTGTCTCCAAATCTCACGGGTAGATCTAGTCCTATTGTCGAATGCTGAAGGTGGAAAATGAGGAACAGCATAAAAAACAAACATTGAAAGTTAGGACCCCTTGACTTACGGTTGAAACTGATGTCAATAGACTTTACGTATCGAAACAATCTAGTAGATGTTTCTTTGCTGAATTTGATTGGCATCTGCTGGTTATCTTTGTCTTTGTATTGTGGAGGATTAGGGTTTTTGGTTCAATCAGAGACAACTATGTGTACAGGTACTATTTGAAATCACACAAGCCGAAAGCAAAGTATGTGAATTATCATTTTCGATTAATACGATCCAAGATTCATCATCCATCATCAACGAAGTGGAGTGTGGCAGACATGTGAAGCAGATCCTGCGTTTTTCGCTACCTCTTCGCTGCCTTCTCTTCTCTACCTTCCTAAAGACTCACTGTTAGTTGAAGAGCGTGAGAAATCCAATGAAGAATGTTTTATGCGATGTGCTTCTTTTCCTTCCACTTCTCGCATCTATCGATTCGCTCAGTGAATTCGGTGCAATGTTTTCATTTGTTTCTGCTGGTGAAGTTTCGTCCGCGTCCCAACCAAATCGAGCAACTGACTTCAAACTGAATTCGGAACTTGCTCCAAATATTCCCTCAGATGAAGACATACCTTCAGATGCAGAAGATACCGACGACAAAAGTCCACACAGATTGTCTCTTTCCGAGCTCAATGGACCTTTCCTTTTGAACCAAGTTGCGAAGGAGAACGCTGCCGCAAGGCAGGAGAAGCTCGATGACGATTCGGAACCCTTGTCGTCTCTCGATAAGGAAGACGCCCCTTCCAGCAAAGCAAAAATAAGGTATCAGCCGAAACCTGTAACGTCATTACACAATGGAACTGTTTCACCTATGCGTGAACGACTACTAGCTGATGGGAGAAATGGAACTGATTTTTTATCGGCTGAACCTGAAAGCAGTCGCCAGGAGTTTGCAAAACTGTGGTGGGTGAACTTGTGGATCCAACAAATGCCTTTGAATGACCAAGATGACCTCGATACATACGAAGAAATCTCAAACTCGGAAGAAAATGCCCGAGATGAACCATCAGAGAACGTTTCACCTCCGAAAGAAGACCGCCTTGAGGAAAAGGCCGCAGAGAATGAGTTGCTGGTCGAACAGAATTTTACTGAACAAAAACATACGCAGTATGATGAGTTGCACAATTTTGATGTCAATACTACTGGTACTAGGCGGAAAAGCGATGATGAAAATACGGCTGATTCCGCCCGTAGAAATGGTGTGCGAATGGAAAATCCTAGAGCATTGGAAGAGACTGCGTTCATTTCTTCAGGAATGGTGCGTAAACTTGGGTGATACGATTGCTTTCTGTGGCTGAGTCTGACTTGTTAGCTTTGAACAAAGTGGGCCGTCATAGACAATGCTATGACTTTTGGACTTGCAAGCAAACACCGCGAGCTACGGCTCTCGCGTCGACTTCGCTCCACTCGAAAACTGTTCTCAAGATTGACTGGATTTCACGGACTGCTGAGTGGAAAAAGTTACTATGAATCACGAAACTTAGGTCCTTCTAGTACCTTCCGTGGCAAGAAGATGGCGCCTAGTCGATATCAAGACACAGTTACACGAAATAACCCAGATGACCGGCTTTATAGCGACAATGAAGAAGCTTCAAATGATGCGATGAACGAAGAAGAAAAGAAAAGGTTGGAAAGGGTGAAGACAATTGATCGGCTTATTGCAGAGGGTCAAGAGCGCCTTCAACAATTAATTTGCGAAAAAGATGTATTGCAACGTCGTCCAAATCCACTGTTCCAGTATTCAACCCAGTCCACTCAAGTGTCGGAGTTAACTGAAGACAAGGTTCAAGCGTCTGGTTCGTCGATTAATCAAACAACCTCGCGCCAGTTTAAGTTTCCGCCCGATGATTTGGTTGACGAATATCTTGAAATGATTTTCTGGAGTCGAAGGGTGACAAAGGTATGGTTAACAGATTTTCTTGCCGGTCTTACCGATCTCAACTTATGCTTGTTTTGGTTTTAGATGAATCATACGCATTTATGGAAAGACACTGATCTACAAGAGGATGACGAGAGAATTGTAGAAGATTTTCTAGCACCGACCAAGCAGAAAGGTTCGAACAAGTATCCAAGGAGTAGGACAAAGCATGGCGGTAGCGGGAATTGGTTACTCCGACAAAGCATTGGAAAGGGTCCTAGTTTGGGCGAAAAGATTGGGGAATCGATGGAGAGAGCAGCATACAAAGCTGTTGCTGGTGCAGGTAAGCTCAATTTTCGATCCCTTTTCAGAAAATGATGACTTCTAACCTTTCTTGTTTAGTAATGTCCGCTCTTGCTCGAGCTCTGTCTGGTCTGCATGGCCTCAATGTGCTTGAAAACGCCGATATTTCGTAAGCTGACCTGATCATAAGATGTGCACATTTTCCCACAAGAGTGTCCTTGCTCACTGAAGTATTTCATCATCTGGAATCAAAGCCTTATGCTTGAACAATCTCCCGATTTACCCGACATACCACCAATGGATGCCACGCCCTCAGATTATGCTCATGACGCTCTCAAAAAAGTTTTTCGAACAAAGTCAAGACACCGAAAGAAGAGACACAAGCAAAGAAGTGCAGATCGGGAATATATTCAAAAGGATGGTACGAAGGATTCATCCATCCGCCCAAAAGTGGATCCTCTTTCTGGTCTCACACCTTTATTTTTGAAATTTTGCAGCTGTCACAGAGATGCTGCTTTCCCAGGCTCAAATCTCGGCACCTCTGCTTCAATTTTTTCCACAAGCATGGCAACGAGCTTTGCTTGGCAATATAATAACTCTCTCAACGGCAGTCATATCAGACTTTTTTGATGGATTGAAGTTTCAGATCCTTGGCTACCAATTGTCGTTTTCATTCAAGCCAATTACGCAAGAAGATATGATCAATCATCTTGGGTTCGCAAGGGCAAACGACAGGAGTGGGAAACTTGCCGATTTTGAGGCTGCTGTGAAAGCTACAGCGCAAGACATTGCAGATGAACTCAAATTCTTGGACCGTTGGCATGAACGTGCCTTGGGTTCGGGGATATTGAGAACTCAGATTGCTAATTTGATAGCGAGAGTTGTTCTAGCTCTCGTGGATGATATACTTCGCGATTCTCGCATGAATCTGTGGTCAGCCCATGCTGGAGGTCCTCGGATCATAGCCGGCCTTGAATATAGAACCCAAGCAAGCAACGCGACAAGGCATCTTGAAAAGGAATAGCAAATCGCACCAGCTCCTCTTTAATCTCTTATTTCACATTATTCTGATTCCAACTGTGGTGGAAATATCCACCCAGAGACAACTAGTTCAATAACTTCTGAGTGCTCTCATCCATTTCGTAACTGCTGAACTCAAAGCACACAATATGCATAGATAATACTAGACCTTGCACTGTCAAGGATAGGCACTACATAGGGATACGTGCAACAGTAGGTAGGCAATCGTAAAATGCAAAATTAGACAACTTTTGCCGGACTTGTGTCCACCTCCATTGGAATATGGAAAATTAGAATAGAACAATTGGTATTGGCATAGTCCAATTATTGCTTAGGTCGTCAGGCATCGTAACAACATACGAATCCACGCCCAAGCCTTCTTTTCTGAAGAAGAAATCAAAGCCGCCATAGTCTCTCAAAGCGCTGAGAAGGGCAATGGATACCAAATGATCATGCTGCTTGAGGAACGTAGCAAGGATGAACCTGCATTTCTTAATGAGAGGTTGAATCTACAAGTGGAAGGGTGCAGAAGGCAAAGGCTGCAAACAAGGGACTTGAAACAGCGAACTTGACAATAGAGGAAGTTGATGATATTTTCCTTTTAAAACTGCAACGGAAAAAATAGTTTGAAGCTTCCTGATGTAAAGCGATCGTTCCGATGGGCCACTACACTGAACCAGCTCTCCAGGGGAGGGGAAATCGGTATAGAGCTTGTTCGGGGTATGGTACCGTAGAGTATCGTAGAATGGTACAGTAGTAGTAGTATTTCATAGTACACCCAGCAGATTTGGTGGTACTATATGTATGGTAGGGATACTGTACGTGGTATGATTTACTGTAGGCATGGAAATTTAGTTGTGGCAAATGCGTGTCATGGGCAAAGAAGAAAAATGATAGATATATTTATGAAAAAACAGGTGAAAATTCTTGTCATTGGGTGATTCCGCTTTTATTTACTGTATCGAAGTGACTCATGATCCGTTGTAGGTCAGCGCAATGGATGTAGATCCTTTTCTCCCCACCAGCAGGCAGTGGGAGCTTTTGGGCCACCAGGTGCTTATATGGGGATTGGGTATGCAGAGAGAGTCAGCAGAGGTTCAAGAAGATGAACGACACCGGGGGTGGTTTTCTACAGTCCCAGCTGAGGTAGGAAGTAGCAAAGGAGCGGACAGGAGCGGAAGAGCAAGAGGAGTATCATTTGCAGCTGAGAAAATAACAATAATAGCTGAAATGTTAATCAATGAAATGCTATCTAGCGCACCATAGGATTGCTGGTGGAACAAAGGTCAGGTGCTGGGAAGCGGCAAGTTAACAACAAGTTTGAACCGTGAGAGGCATCTGACAAACAGAAGTTGCTCTAGTCAGAACCAGTGGGTCCGGACTCTTCCACAAAACAGTGGTTAGGGGACTTGGTCCTTAGGATCATGGAAAAAGCGATGGAGAATGCGGCGTTGAGGCACCAGAGCGCGGTGATAGGCCGTGTGTTCCATTTTCAGCAGCTTTAACCACTCCTCTTGACTGAGAGCATGCGCTGGACAACCTTTGGAAGGTTGGTTGGGCCCATATCGGACTGAGAATGAATCCCGTCATTGACCTGCCGGCTATGCTCATGTACTAGGTGCACATTATCCTCCAAATGTTGCATCAGGTTCCGATGTTCTCACATCCGGAACCCCATCAAGATCAGCTGGTGCGAGAGACAAGAAACCCACAGAGTGGGAGAGCTGCCTCCCACGCAACTGCAGGTATTCTTCCTGCAAGGGGGCCCATTGACAAGACAGCAGTCCTTCCAAGAGTCCTTGGTAGCCAATGCATTGTTGAGAGCAAAAGGCCCTACAGAGGCGGCCGGGGACATCCCGTAGGGAAGGAAGGGACGGATCACGGACACCTTGAATAAGGAGGAGGATGGCATGTTTGATGGCTAGGTCGGTCACTTGGGTGTCCAACCATTGGTCCAGTGTATTTGCAGCTGAGAGACGAAAGATGATTGAGACGTATGTAAGTGGAAAACCTATCCCAAATGGTCGATACTTTGTTGTGATGCTGGATTTTTCACCAAGAACCATTCTGACGTCCAAAGGATTACACATACTGCTGGCTTTCAAGGAAAGGTCTAGCGGCAAGTTGTAAGAATTGGTAGCCCCAAATTATCCTTTGGTAGATATGCTACAAGATGTGAGGGAAACTGAAAAGGCCCTCAGTGGAAGGCCTGTTTACATTGCAGCATCAAAGAAAAGTACCAAAGAGATAGTTTGGCTTTTTGTTGGGGACGGAACAAAGATGACCTAATTGGAAAAGAAACAGGTGAGGGACTTCTTTCATTTCATGAAAAGATAGATCAAGGATGGAAGGCAACTCCCATTGGAAAAGGAAGCACGATTGGAACAAATTGGATTCTTCCACAAATTTCTGCTGGAGAAAGTAGAGGCATCAGCTCGTCAGGAGATTGAAGGTAAAACACCCTTGCAGTAACCTAGAAAACAGCATGTGACTAGGAGAATGTAGGTAGTAATGAAGGTTGCCTCAAGGTTAGAATGGAGACATGCATTGTTACTTGTTACTTTTCATTGCACCATATTTGTGTTTGGATCCTTGTTCTTTTGTGGGAAGAGGCAATGCATGCTCTGCGTTGTTCCTCTGTTGCGCGATTGTCTCTGGCACGTCCCCCAATACCGTCAGCTTGGCCCTTCTTCACCATCTTCCTGATCATCCACAGAAACACAGACAATTTGCAGGATACAATGAGGAGTCTAACCGCCAATGGGCAGACTCGATTCAATATGTATGAAAGCAATATCTGATTGACAGCAAATCACAGTCTAGACATGGAATTCCATAGCAGCTAGTAAAGGGAGACGCTGCCTAGTCTGACACTCAACAACTGAAAACAACCCAAAACACTCCTAAAAAAGAAGATTCCAACACCCAAGAAGATTGTGTAGAAACTGGTACCTCCTTTGGTCTGCTGCAGCAAGCTTACCAGAACACATCCATTCTGGCCTCTGATACCTGGCTGAAACAAGCATGAAAGGAGCTCGAGTCACAGGATATGTATGTGGCCTTTGACTCTCTGGCCTTGTCCTTGTGATGCCACCACGACGCCCTTCTGATTGACTTGTTCATTGATCTGGAGGTTGATCAGGACAAACTTCTCTGGCTTAACTGGTGCCGGATGTTCCTACAAGTGACTACTGTGTCAGATATCACCAGTGCCAATGGTCGCTATGTCCGCCGATGCATCTGGAACGGTTTTTGCGATGACACTTCTTGGACCCCTTATCACTGGCCTCAAACAGTACGGCCTGGGCGTACACATCCAGTGTCTTGGTCCCCGCGACATGTTTACGGACATTTGGACAAGTCCAACTTATTTGATGAACTCACTTGGTGGGAAAAGAAAAACCTGGAGGTAGACGGCATGGCAGTGGATTTCCGCAAGGAACTTGAGGCAGCCCACTAACTCATCCCTCCCAATCCTTGGTTCTTCACCGAACTGGTGGCTCTTTTTGTGGCTGACACAAAGCAGTCCCGGCTGAGTGATCAATTCATTCAGGAATGCGTGACACTTCTACACCTTTGGCAACAATGGAAGGACCATAGCATGATTTCTGAAGAAGCTGAAAACCTCATTGATTGGGAGACCCTGGGTCACGCTATGCGGTCCCTCCCTGCCGGACTCCAGCACTGGATTACAAAACATTGGGTGGGCATGTGTGGCAGGGGCAAGTTTAAAGTGTATTGGGGCCTCGAATCATCTGCTGCATGTCCTCGGTGCGGCCAGTTTGAAGATCACTTGCATGTTCCACAATGTCCGGCAGCGTTGGCCAAGGACAAATGGGACCGGAGGGTGACAGCTCTCTCGCTCTAATGGGTATGCATCTCACCTCGCCTGCCATTAAACATGCCATACTCCATCTTCTTCTGGGTGTCCGCGATCCATCACGACACACCTCTTGTTTGATCTCGCAGACCATTCGCCCCGCCTTTCTGGCCCAGGAAGCTATTGGGTGTCAAGGACTTTTGGAAGGAAGGCTAGCATCATTGTGACTGTCAGTACAACAAAGTTATTTTGACAAGATTTGCAGTCGTCAGCAGTCAGTTTCTCTGTGGGCTTCCCGTCTCTCCCAGCAACTCATCTCACTTGGGTTCTATATGTGGGAACAACAGAACGCCGTTCAACATTCGGATGACAATGTTCAGCTCTGTGACCGTCACTGTGTTGTCAATGAGGGGATTCACTCTCAGTTTGATATGGGTTCAGCTGATTTACCTCAGGAAATCTGACGCATGCTGACATGCCGTCACAGCGTCCTTCGTGAATCACTGGTGGATAAGGAAGAGTGGCTGAAGCTACTTTGACACGAGCGCAAGGACTATCATCGCTCTCTGCGGGCTCAACGCAGTAGCCTACGGACTATCTTTTCTGCTTCACCTCCTGAACGCTCCCCAACGTTTGTGGGACAATAAGTACCCCGAATTCACCCCGCCTTGCTGCGGGAGAAGTCATGACTTAGGCAACTTCTGCCCTTCAACAGATGCCTCACATTGTTCAAACTTGTCGTTGACTCACCGCATCACAGTACTTGACCTTTACAGCCAAAAGTTTAGCGGCAATCAAATGCCCATAGAGTAGCATCTCACCGATTAATGTCTCCGTTATTCTTATTATTTCCAGCATGAGCGTCTGCTTATTTTTCACTGGAACTGGATATGGTCGACACCTAAAAGGCGGTGAATTTGGATCTTTTAATTCAAGCTTGTGCTGTACGCCTTTCCATTTGCCAAGTGTTCCATCAAACAGCTTAACATACTTTTCTAGAATAGGTTTGAGAGTTCGTTTCTGGTCATCTGAGAGATGTGAACTATTGTTAAGTATTTGATCTGGAGTTACTGGAGCATATTTTGCGTCTAAAATCTTGCTCACACGCTCAACGGCTTCTGCTGTGCTTAGCGGCTCCTTAATACCGGTGATAAATTGAAGGTCGTTCAGAGCATCCAATTTGTTTATTTCAGTCATGGAAATAGACAAGTTCTGGTATTCGATCATGTTGTGTTCGAAATCCAACTTGATATCCAGCTCCCTCATAAGATCTCGGCCAATAATCATATCGTATCGTGGGGAGATTGACTTAGCCAAATGAACATCTGTATCAATAGTAAGCGAGTCGGATAATTGCGGTAATTGCATGCAGACCTTAGCTCTCTGGCTGGTTTCAAAGGTACCTGCTGCAGTTGCCCATGAAGACGCGCAACTTCTTGGCATGACGCGAATCTAGGATCGTACTTGATGTTCCAGAGTCTAATAGGGCTCGAATTGTTTTACATTTAGGTGTGCATTTAGGTGTGCCAAGTTTCTCTTGGATCCTAATATGGAGAATAGGGGTTAACATCGTGATCCTGCGTTTCTTTTTGGGGCGCAGCGAAGACAAAACATATGAATCGGTGGATTCTTGATTCCAATTGACGAGGTAGAATAAGATCTAGATTATGAAAATCGAATGCAGCATTTTTGTAGGCATTGCCAGGTGGAAATTGGGAAATCAATCGGTTAATCGTTTGAAGTATTGAAACGTGTTCTCGTACGCTCATGTCCAGACGCTTGCAAAAACCTTTGCCACGTAGCGCTTTCTTCTGTAGTCGCACGGCATTTTGCGGGAAAATGGTCTTTTTAAGAATATTTATGGCTCGTTCAAGATTGGCATCAGTGATGGTTCCGTCGTTGGGTAGGGCGTTTCGAAAGGTGGTTCTTTTGGATTCACCCATGAGTTGCTTGAGGAAATGAGACCAGTCTTCTGCGGTTACAATCACTTGTCCCTTCCAGGCTTCTTCGACAAGTTCAAGAATTTCGAAAAGCTTTTCTGGCTTGGGATTCTTTAAGGGAGGAATCTTCAGGGTGTAGGTTGCGCTCCTCTTTTGGTCGGGGTTGCGCTTGCAGGTGAACTCGCGCAGAAGGTCTTGGTTCTCCTCTTCATCAGTAGGACTTGGTGGGATCAATGGAATCAAGTTTTCACTTTCTGCACCAGTTGACTTGCGAGGGATAGAAAAGTTAGATAGGACAGGCATTGTGCTTCGCACTTACTGTATTTTGCTAGCAAAGTGTCGTATGTACAAAGGTGTAATGTAATAGGAGTGATGAGAGGTAACTCTAAAATATTGTGAGATTATTCTAGGAATGAAATTGGATCTGATGTGGAGCTGATGTGATGCTGAGGTGGCAAGGAAGCATATGTAGGAGTACTGTAGGATAGTACCATGTGTTCTCTGCAATGGCATCAGCTACATTGCATTTGCATTGGGTCTTCACTACGGAAGGCACTCATCTTCTACGAGGGTGATCAGTCCTCTTAGAAGATCTAAAACCGTGCTTCATCGTGTGTACAGTAGACGTACGTACGCGGCCCAGACGTACATTCGTATTAGTCCAGTTGACCCTTGTGATTACTGTTCGTCAGAGGTGTCCGTGTGCGCTAAACGCGAGCAGTGTTCGTTAGTGCTCTATTGGCGGACCAGTGTAGCATATACTGCACAACTTCTGCTCCAAGTAGAGGACTAGTTGGAGGACCAACAAGGTTGCTTTGTACTTCCATGCCATCATCAGCCCCAACTCCTGGCCCTACATCAGAGCCTACCACTGGACCAAAATTGGAATTCACCTGCTCTTGTGGACTTTCACATAATTGTTGTACATCCTACTGCAGGCTGTAGAAAATTGACTTCATAGAACATTTTCTGGAACCAGTATTGTCCCATATACCGATTAAAAATCCCACCAGCATATTGCATGGCCATGAGCAACGAGTTTTTTGAAAACAATAAAAGTAGCTCTTTTAAAACTTCTTTAACCTTAAAAGCTACAGAAATGAATCGTACGTGGGGGATAACGGAAGAAGCCGGTCAAGTTGTATCCTTTGCCATCAAGACGCAAGTGGCAATTTTGGATTTCTCAGCCCCTAAATGAAGTCTCAGAGATTTCAAACAGGAGCGTCATGCATAACCATCAAGGTACGTCCAATTAAACACCACACACAACACCATTTCTTGTCCTACAGATTAGCAGCACTTGCGCAAGATTTAAGACTCCTTTGCCATTTCGATTAGGGCAGGTGCGAGAGTCTTTTCAGGGAAATCATCACCAGCTGGATCAAACTCGGACTCTGCAATAGCAACACCCTTAACTTCACCATCAACAATGTGCATAGCAAATCGCTTTGAACGGCCAATAATACCAACAGATGCTGGGCCAGGATGAGTCATTTCCATATCTAGTGCTTTCGTGAATGCACCAGATGGATCGCCAAAAAACTTGACCATACTATCATCGATGCCTTGGTCCTTTCCCCAAGCAGTCATCACCGCTCCGTCATTCACACAATAGACGATGACTTCGTCAACCCCTGCTTCTTTCAATGCGTCTTGAGATTCAAGGTACCCTGGTACCTGTTGTGTTGCATCAGTTGTTAGATATTGCGAACTCTGATTGATGGATGGTTTTGATTAATCGAAGGCCGCGAATTGCTATCTTACCTGCCGACTGGATCAAGTCGGTGTGAAGGCTCCTGGGAGACCAACGATGAATACATTCTTTCCTTTAGTGTATTCAACAATGTCGATTTTCTCCGGGGGGAAACCAGAATCTAACTCAACAACTGGAAGCTTATCTCCTGGTGCGATAGCTGAGAATGCCGAGGCACTAGTGGCCATCAAGCCTATGGCGAGTCCAGAGAAAAACATCATTTCTTAACTCGTTGGAATTAAATTTGTGGTGAAGATGACAATCGATCGCAGTACCACCGTACAGAACGGTACTGGTACCAGGTACTGTACCTGGTACTGGTTCCGACCGATTTAAGGTACGTCACCAACACGTCAGAGACTACAAGTACCGGCGGAAACGCAATATACGGTAACGTCTGTACGTCCTCTCACTTCATAAACATACTTTATCATGGGTTCAAGTAGAAGTCATTGGATATCGTCAAGCACATTATATTTACCAAAAGACACCGGCACGGCTAGTCTGACCTCCGCCTCCCACATGTGGTGAACCAAATCGGAGTGGAAGGACAGACATATCGAATAATTCGCGAACTTTCACAAGTTATTTTATACTGTATGATACGATGGTTACTATTTGTAGTCAAAAGTCGGTAGCTGAATTGAAGCTTTTTTAAAACACTTGAAGACAAAGTAAAGATACGATTTGACTGCACATACACTACATCTAATATGATTTTGGTGCTGGTACCGGTACACTGGTCCCTCCGACTTTGATTGCTGCCGAAACATCAATGTGTCCAGACAAATCAGTGTGGGGAACATGAATAATATTGAACTAGACAAGAGAGCAAAACCTGAAAAGCAACAAAGCAGTTGCCACCTTGTAGAATGATTACATGTTGCAAATTGAAAAGCAGGTGCTGCCGACGAGGGACGATGGTGGCTGAAGGAAGCCAACCAGCCATTCTAACGAGACTGTTGAATCATCTCTGAATCATCTCTGTGGTGGTGATGATGCAGAGCCAAGTATTGTTTTGCGTCAAATAAAGCAGACACTACATACACTGCTGTATCAATAGTAGTAGCAGATCCAGGTGACGACAATTTAAGGCAAAACATTGTTGGTGTCAGCATACGCACACAAAACAAAGGTTGAATGGAGGACGACCTATTCACCTAGATCCACAATAACAAAGAAGACAGCGACGACAATCATAGTGACAATGCATGATAGTGCTCACAGAGGCAACTTGGTGTAAAGGAGATGACGACAAGACAGCTGTGGATGGTGGAGGCAACTCAGCATATCCCTACAACAGACATGCATGAGGACAAATGAAGTCCCAGTCCGACAATACCGTCAGACAAGACCAACTTTTGACCATTCCCAGAGTGCCGGCTCCCAAAATGGTGGACGACATGTCTTGAATTGAAAATCTAGTGGCAGTATCACCAGTCATAGTCAAACCCTAGCCCTCCTTTTCTTCATGACAGTAGCGCAGCAGCATCCATACCTGTAGACGGTCCAGTCATCTTCATTACTTCAATGCACCAAATCTCCAACCTGTTAAAGCAAGGACTTGGCACAACACAATGAAGCTTTTATGCTACATACTGTTTGTCACTCTGCGCAATGAAAGTTGAGGCACAGATACGTAAAAAGCTCAGTATGCAGAAGCGGATGAAGGAACCTGTCTCTGAGGAATTGGAAGTGCCACTAGCGAGTACTGATGGAAAGTTTGTCAAGTGGGTTGTAGCAATGTGATGTTGTTGCTGTCCTGGTCCCATTGCTGGTCTTGTCCTTCCTTTCCTCACGGCGGTAGCAGCAGCAGTAGTAGCATCCATACCTGAAGACGGTCCAGTCATCTTCATTACTTCAATGCACCAAATCTCCAACCTGTTAAAGCGAGGACTTGACACGACACAATTAAGCTTTCATGCTACATACTGTTTGTCACTCTGCACAATGAAAGTTGAGGAACAGATACGTAAAAAGCTCAGTATGCAGAAGCGGATGAAGGAACCTGTCTCTGAGGAATTGGAAGTGCCACTAGCGAGTACTGATGAAAGGAGAAGGAAGATTCAGTTTGTTCACAGGTCGGGTTGGAAAAACACAATCAAAAGGACAGCAACAGTGCGTTCTGGTGGTGATGTTTTTTATGTTGTGATGTGTGATGTGTGTATTTTGTCTTCACTGTTTCTGCGAGCAGTATTTCTGCGTGCCGGTGTCTTTTGGTAAATATAATGTGCTTGTTTCTGACAATAGAACGAAGAGCAACGCGTTAAAACGCGTTTTCCCCCATCTTCCAGCTATCGTCCAATGTACGGTAACGTCTGTACATCCTTTCACCACATAAACGCTTATCGAGGATAGAAGACACCACTCTTCACTGATGTTTTCTGGTCCAACGTCTTGTTGTTGTGTCACCTTGATGACACAAGAGACCGTCTTCGAATATAGGTACAATGGTGGTGAAAAAAATCATTAATGATCCAAAGAATGCAGTAGAAGATTTCATAGGAGGTATCTTAGCTACCTATGTATGTACAATGCTGTTCTGAGCTCGGGAAAATCTTATTCTATAATTTGTTTTCAACGAAAATCTATTGATTATTCTTTAAAAAGCTCACACTCTCCTTGTTTCGTTTCTGCTGTCTTTCTTGTAGCCGAATCGGTTTAAGAAGCTTCAAAACCATGATGTCCTGTTAGATGCAAATCCTTCAAATACCGTGCAGCTGATTTCTGGAGGCGGTAAGTTGAAAGCACCCTTCTCATACCTCGGAAGCCCGTACATTCCGATCTCACTCGGTTTCTTCATAGGCTGCGGTCACGAGCCGTCTCATGCAGGTATGTAGAGTAGATATTTTCGCCTTTTATCATCTGTATCTTGTGCTGACAACAATGAATACCAGGCTGGATTGGCAAAGGGATGCTCTCTGGAGCTGTGCTTGGAGGTATTTTTGCTTCTCCAAGTGTATCGGCTGTTTTGGCAGCTATCCGAGCTGCTGCGGCGAGCAACAAGAACAGAGGAGTTTTGTTGATTGTGAAGAACTATACAGGCGACCGATTGAGTAAGTGGCTATTGATATCATCATCAGAGTGCTGACTACTTGCTGATATTATGCCCGTTTGTAATGATTTCTTTAGACTTTGGTATGGCATGTGAACAAGCCGCCCAAAGTAATATTAACTGTAGGATGGTCGTAGTTGCGGTATGTATGGATTATGAATATCTTTGGAAGTAGAATGTTATGGAATGTAACCAACATCGCTTTTTGACAGGATGACTGTGCGTTGCAGAGACAAAAGGGAATCACTGGACAGCGTGGAGTAGCTGGGATATGCCTTGTGCATAAAGTGGCGGGAGCGGCGGCTGAGGCTAGAAAGACCTTGGACGAAATAGTTGATATAGTTTCTGAGGTTTGCTCCCAAATTGGAACCCTTGGTGTTTCTCTTGATGCTGTAACAGTGCCAGGTGCCAAGTCTTTGAATGCTCGTCTAGATGACGTAACGATTGAAATTGGCCTCGGAATTCATGGAGAGGCTGGTATGAGGTGCGTAAATGAGACTTAAAGTCACTTTATAAAATATGTTGTGCTAATGCTGTGATGGAAGACAAGTACCATTGATGACTGCAAATGAAATTGCTCGGGATTTGTTGAAGTCGATCCAAGAATATGGTCGAGCTGTAACAAGGAATGGCAAGGAAGATATAATTCCGTTTATTGAACAAGGAGATGATATTTGTTTGCTAATCAACAATCTCGGGGGAACTTCGAATTTCGAGCTGGCTATCTTTACCGGGGCTGTTGTTTCAGAATTGGAAAAAGTTTACAAGGTGCAAGTTTCGAGACTTTTTGTGGGCAGCTACATGACAGCGTTCGATACACATGGAGCAAGTATTACGATTTTCAACTTGTCGAACGTTTCTGATCAGATAAAGACATTCCTTGACGCTCCCTGTTCTGCGCCATCTTGGGTGGAATGTGATCCAGTAACCGCACATCCACGGAACTCCCTGGAAGAGTTACCCGAAGTCAAACAAGTAAATGAATCATTATTGAAGAAGCCAACTCTTCAGATTGCAGGATTTGATGAGTTGTCCAGGTCCCTCGTGCTGAAGGCTGTTCAAAGACTGAGCGAAAACGAGACTGTGTTGACAAAGTATGACACAATCGTTGGAGACGGGGACTGTGGTATCACTATGAAACGAGGAGCAAATGAGATTGAAAAGCGACTTTCCAATGGTGGCATTGATATTACTCATCCAGTAAGTCTATTCAGCAATATTGCGGATGCTATCTCGTTTGCAATGGGAGGTACGTCGGGATTCTTGCTAGAGCTGTTATTTCGGCGAATGAGTTCATTCGCGGCGGGACAAAAAAAGATTGATGCCGCAGACATTAGCAGTGCATTTATGGCAGGTGTTGATGCATTAAGGATCTATGGAGGTGCTACAATTGGTTCTCGAACTATGATGGATGCGTTGATTCCTGCAGCAAAAAGTCTCGTTGAGAACAGTGATTTGAAGCTCGCTGCAGCCAACGCGAAACTCGGTGCTGAAAAAACAGCAAAAATGAAATTAGCTTCAGCTGGTCGATCGAATTATTTGAATGCAGAAACCCTTGAAGGCACACCGGACCCTGGCGCAGTGGCGGTATCGCTTGTTTTTGACGCAATATCTTAAAATTGATTCGGTAGCCGAATGAATGGTATCTTTGCCATTCTGTTGGAGAAAGTTTGGTTTTCATAGAATTTCGGTAGCTTGTGAAGTGAATGGTTGGAAGGGTCTGGATTAGGGTTGGAGTTCTGTGTACTCAGCATTTACACCGCCTAAAACTCATAGCAAAACACTTGTCCATGGTATAACATCTTACAAAGCCGGCATTTGAATTTTCTATCAGCCATAATTTAAATTTTTTTCTACAGCAAAAGCTACGAACAGTGTGTTCGCTATATTGTGCTTGACGATACATCTCTTGGAGAATGCAATCCTATCTCGTGCATTTCTACGTCTGCTGGTAGTTTTTGCATCAGCCCACCAGAGACCCTGTGACACTGTGCATCTATTGTAGTCATCAAGTCTTGAAGGTTCACGTTGTTTTCGAGTGATGCTCGTAATTCATCTGCTGCTCTGGCTACTGCTTCGCCGTAATAGTCTATGCCCGTAAACGACGAAACCGACTGAAGAAATCTATCGCTTTGCTCCCTCGGAAATATCGCAGTATCAATCCTCTCCATGGAAATCTTCATCGCTGCCATCGACATTGACGACGAAGAGTATTTGATAAACTTGTAGATGCAGGTTGACACTTCGGATATAAATCGAGTGACTTCCATAATCATGTAGCGTGCGATGGCCGAGGTTTCTGGGGGAAGTAATCGAAGCAATTGTCGCATGAAACATACTGGTGTGGGTGGATGCACATGCCAATCGAGTACATGTAGCATCTCTGTTTCCATTGCAATTACATCAGCTTCATTGAAAAGCCCACGGCCTAACTTCACCATACTGTCGAGCTTCACAGATGTAGAATCGTTTAGCTTGATTGAAAGCATGAGGCTTGTCATTGCAACAAGCTGAAAATCCCTGCGGCATCGAACTAGTCCACGACTTGCCGAGAGGTCAAGAAAGTAAGTAGCTACCGCGACCGACTCCCGTCTTAGGTTACAATGATCGACAACTCCGTACATCCACTCAATGATTCTCTGTCTCCAACAGCCATCGATCACTTCGTTGTCCGTAACGCAGCGTAGTTCGGTTGCCAGATAGTCTATTCTCCTATATGTTGTTACTTCTTGGCGCAACATATTCCTGACAATGTCAGTGACATCGTCATGATTTACAAGCGTGGAGCAGCTCATTTTTCTTGATATGGCTTGAATATGAATTTTCTTGATTCCAACCAAAATCTGACTTGGTTGACAGTCCGGAAGACACCAGAAATGCATGTAAATAAATTGTGTACTTAGACAATATCTATCGCTAGCATTAATTGAGATTCGGCTGGCTGCCGTTGGATTATCCGTTGAATATCTCCATCTCTCGAGTTCTCCAACTATTTTCAAGAGCTCTGGTTCAGGAACGGCCGGGAACTGTGGTCCGATGAGTCAAAGCGCACGCACTCGCAAATGGATATGGGAATCTTGTTGATGGAATCATGCAAATTTTTTGTTTTGTCGCCCTAATCGAATATCAGCACGAAAGGTCGATAAACAGACTCTAAATGTTTGTGCGGAGGGTGGAGGAGTCCTTTGGTTCCGAAACTGACATACAGTATGTCCGAATGTTTAATAAAACCTTCCATCGACACGTCGTTACCACCCAACTTCTTAATGTAAAACGCTTAACAGTTGATAAAAGCACATTTCGATTCACACTTGGTCAATTTTCCAACGGAGGGGTTGACTGGCTCGTAGACAAGTTGTCAACAGCCTCGGCTGGCTCATGGACAATCTGTCCACGCCTCGGCTGGCTCCGTGGACAATTCGTCCACGAGCCTGCCATCACCGTGGACCGATTGTCTATCCAATCACATTGTCCCATTCCATTCACCTCTTCCGGGGGGATTTCAACGCTGGAAATCAGATTTCCGGGAAGCGCAGGTATCACATAATCTTGGTCAAACCATTTGCTTGCGTCTACCAGTTTCTACATACGGTACGTGACGGGAGCTGGTGCCATATCCAGGTTACTGCAATTCAAAAAAGGCGAATCAAAAATATTGTTCGTCACGGAGAAACTCACCAATTCTACAGACAATCACACTATTGACCTATCATCTATCATCGTATAAAACTGAACCATGGCACGAGGACGAAGTGGAAGCCAGCTGCGCGGAGCAGCTTCATAGGACAACACAACAATCCAACTTCGGGGGCTTCGTTGAGGATCTGACAGTTGGCCAGGAGATCCGTTTCTATCTTGGCTGGACACTCAGTGCATACAACTCTCGGCTGAATGAATGAGTTCACGCAGGCTCATTTCCGTTCGTTTTCCATGGTTGAAAAAAGTTTATACTGCGGAGCCGCTTCTTCGTGTTTCTCCAATTGGGCATGAGGCTGTTCCATCGGAATTCATCCCTTGCTAGTGTCCGAACTACCACATTGTTGCAGTTCGTCTAACATAGAGAGTATGGCAAGGAGGCAGCAGGATGATGCAGGTAGATTCCAATCTTACTGCCATATCTTTGCCGAACTCTCGACTTACTCACAAATGAAGCGTCGCAAGCCAATCATTGAGATGCTATAGATAACATAGTTGATTAAATAGTTAAGTTTTAATGCAACCAGGATGTAGAGAGTGCAGACGCCATGTTCACAAGTCAATCATATACCAAAGGATTGATATGTGCGACCCGGTTATTGGTTGGATGGTTCTTCAACTGTAAAATAGGCAACTTATAAATATTCCAAATCTCATCTAACAGGATTAGTAGTCTTCCCATTCAATGTGATTTGAACAAAGTACTTACATCAGAATAACAAGCTCGATACCTTTCTTGTCTTGTCTTGCTTGCTGCTGTATTGAACTATGATGTGACCGTATCGGTAGAATAGGCAAGTCAGAAATATTCCGAATCTCAATTTTAGCAGGGAAGGTCCAAGATAAATCCCTCTCCCCTCCTGCTTTCAAACAATGTTGATTGTTGCATTTATCGATACTTTTCATGTCTTGTTTGCTGCGGATGTGAATGCAAACAATGCTTTGACCATGGCGTAGACATTTATGCTGTACAGTAGCAAGATCAATCACACTCCGCTCCATCAGCTTTCAAACAATGTGGATTGTAGCATTCTTCTTGCCGAATTCATAACGTTGTTGCTGATTTGTTGGCTTGAGTCGCTTGTTCTTCAAAGACTACTGTATCAAGCAGGTCACGACAAGCAGGTAACAACGAATTTATTGATACCTTCTTGTCTTCTTTGCTGCGGTACTGAATGCAAACGATTTGACCGACCTTTGAAAAGGCAAAACATTCCGAATCTCGTTTAAGCAGTGCAGTAGCAAGATAATCTCACTCTGCTTTCGCTTTCTAGTGGATTGTTGGATTGCTTCATTCTAATCAATCAGCACCTACTCAGATCGCGAGCGCCGATGCAGATTTGTTGGAACTCATCTTGTCTTCATTGATGATGCCCCTGATGTATACGATGTTGTGCTTCTGCCTCCAGGCTGTTTTGCATCATGGCTATTTAGCGTCTGTTGTGGTCAGTGCCGTGTGCTGTCCTGCTCCGTTGCCCTTGTTGCTCGTTGGAGGCTCGTGATCGAAGTGTTGTCGATGGAAACAATGATGACACACACTATGTATGATACGATGCTTCTCAACATGAAACTAGCTCCCGTCAAAAACGGTACCAAAACGGACGAACAATGCCTCTACTACAGTCATATCCGGGTCGCTTAGCAGCTCTATTTTTTGAAATCAAATATTATTCGTCTGTTCTTCGATCTTTGGTTATTCCAAGCGGAAATGTGCCGTCATCGTAGGGGTAGTATGAAAAATACGACGATTTTCAAATATTCATCACCTATTTTATGGAATACCTGCCAAGCAATTCAACGATACTATCCATGGCACAAGTTCTCCCCTGACGAAAGCCCCCCCTGAATGCTTTTATGTGTCAATATCTAATGGGTGTTTCTTGCGATGCCAATGTGGTTAGAGCCACTTTTCGCCTTTTTGCGAAGGATTTCCAGAGGTATGTTAGTGAACTTAGCCCACAGGATTTGACATTTGGCTAAGACTCTTCCATTGCCCATCTCTGCACCCATTGAAGGGTCATCCTGGTTTACGTTTTGTAGCAATGGCATTTCAGAAAGTACTATTACCTCCATTCAATCTAGATTTTCATGGTCAATCCATTAAAAACTAAAGAATACCGTTTTATGTCCTTTTTTATCATACAAGGAGGGTCAAGCAGCGGTCCTGTAGGGAATCCCGCCATGCTTGGACCCGCTTTAGTAAAGCATTCTGATTGGATGGACAAATTGTCCACCCAAGTCAGCAGAACCGTGGACGGATTGTCCATCCAATCAGAATTACATGGACAATCCGTCCATCCAATCAAACTGTATGAAAAGAGGTGAATTTCGGCAATTCAGGCAATATGATTGGATGGACAATTCGTCCACGACGCGGCTGGCTCCGTGGACAATTTGTCCACGGCTGGGCATGGGCTGGCTCCGTGGACAATCTTTCCACGGCTCGGCTGGCTCTTTCGGGATCAGATCACGCACAAGAGAAAAAAGCTTTGATGTAGGCATTTTTTCCACCTATGAGATGGCAGAAAAGGTAGAATTAGAGACGCGCCCTTCTTGTCGAATTCTCAGATATATGTTATTTAAAATCGCTTTGCATTAATTCAACACTCACTCTTGCGAAGGGAGTGAACGCTTCACTGCAGATAAGAATGGAGAACGGAATCCAACTATTCTTTAGATGGTCAGAATCGAAGATCCCGCGACTAAGATTCCTTTTTCAGCCTTTCAAAGAACCAAAGGTCGACCACTACGACCTCCGTTCCCGGCCGTTCCAGGACCGTGTGGCAAATTCTTGGTCGGCAAGACGGGAGACGTATGGGCGTTTCTAGCTCTTCCTTAGTCTCAATTTCCGTCGTGTCGATTACGGCGCGTCACTCTCTAGCCATCGTCTTGCGGTCAACCCACCCCGTCTGTCGGTCGCACGTAAACGAGCGAAGGGTCTCCCTGAGGAGCGTTCTTAACAAAAAAACAAAAATGCACCACGTGTCTCATTTGCACCACGGCGGAATTTGGTGCATATTCGACCATTCCTAACAAAAACGGTGCCGCATTACCGGCCCTGTGCGGCAGTACCGGCCCTGCGTACAATTCTTTAAGTAAACACATGTAGATGCACTAAGGTGCGGTCAATTTTTTCCGCGACACGCAACAACAACAAAACAACAACAACAAGATGCTCGATTTTGATCTTGATGACGATTACGACACTGCTTTATTTTTTGCTCTCGCGCATTTAACACAACAACAGACGAGAAGACCCAAGTATCCAACCGAACGGGTCAATTGGGACGAACATCTTCAGAAAGAGTTGTATCAGAACTCGTTTCATAGGACATATCGCATGTCCTATCCCTCTTTCCTGAAGCTAAAAGGATTATTGGGGGACAAAATAGTGCTAAATGGTTCTAGAAGCACAGCATCATCTGGCACAGCTCCAATCATTCCTCAAGTTGTTATGGCATGTGGAATTCGTTGGCTTGCCGGGGGTTCTCCAACCGATATTAAGAACGCGTATGGGCTGACCGTATCCACTGTTTACAGGTTGAGGGACTTGTTCTTGGATGCTGTGTGTACAACAGACGAACTTGACATGAGGCTCCCAGATCTTTCAAATCCTTCTGAGATATCTAAATTCCGGTCAGATTTCGAAAAATTAAGTTCTTCAGGGGTGTGCAAAGGTTGTGTCGGAGTTTTGGACGGAATGCTTCAACGCATAGGCAACCCATCGGTGGCCTGTGCTGAAGGCCAGGTGAGATCCTATTTTTCAGGACATTACAATTGTCCTGGATTAAATGTTCTTGCCATGTGTGATGCTTTTTTGCGTTTCACTTTTTTTGGCGTATTGAATCCAGGGTCCGCTTCTGACCGAATGACGTATCTCAAATCTCGGCTCCCAGCATTTGTGGACTCATTGCCATTCGGTACCTATGTCATTGGCGATGCAGCTTTTCCTCTAGGTGATAACCTGTTGATTCCATTCACCGGTACCTACAAACTGGATCCATCCAATGATGTTTATAACTTTCACATCTCTCAGCTCAGGATTAGGATTGAGATGGCGTTCGGCCATCTGACTAACAAGTGGAGAGTGCTGCGCAGACCGTTGGGAGGGAAGCTTGCTAGGCAGTCACAGGTCCTCGAAGTTTGTGCCAGGCTTCACAATTTTGGAATTAATGAAAGGATACTTGGTGAGCACGAGCAAGAAGAAAGTGAAGAAACGGAAATGTCTGCCAACACTTGTTTTGACTCTATGGAACTTTCCCCAGCAGGCCTGGGATATTTACCCACACTGCGCCCTTTTGAGGAAATACCCGGGTCTTCAGCAATGCGGAATTTATTGGTGGATCACATTAGGGCTTACGGATTGACACGGAGTCAGCAAAATGTTGCAAGAAAACGTGAACACGAAAAAACGTTCGATTATTGCGAGAAAAACAGTCTTATGTAGTAATGTCTTATTTAGTAAGGAGGTCTATGTCTCTTTGTCATCAGTGATTTCTTATTTATTACTTTGGTTTATACCTCTTCATCATCCGAAACGTCTGATGTCTCAAAACACAACTCGAGCCTTTTGATTGGAGAAGACACTGGACTTCTTGCGTCCTCAAGGATGTCGTCCCTCTTCTTTTCCACAACGCGGTAAGACTTGCCCAACATGATGTCTGCCCTTTCCAGATCACATAGTAGATCTTTCATACGTTCTTTAGTGTGCTCATCTGAACATTGGTTCAATTGTTCTTGGAGTTTTAGTGTCTTGGTCATGTTTGCCGTCCGTTTCTCCAAGTTCTTATCTAAGTCATCCTCAACTTTCCGAAGCTTTGAACTGTAATCATTTGAGTTCTTTTCCATTTCGGCTCTCTTCAAATCGACAAGCATTCTCATGGAATGTCCTAAGTCATTCTCAGGGCGGCTCTTCCGTTTTCCAGATGAAGAAAGGCTGCTGCGAGTGCTTCGCGGGGGGGGCTTGCTTGGGGTCTTCTGGAATCCACCATCACGAAACACATCCGCAGGAATACCCTTCACCGCCGCTCTATGCAGAACTGTGTAGCCTGTTTGATGAAAGAAGAAGATGTTTATGAGACTAGGCAGGCAACAAACAGAAACACAGGCAACTTACTCGAAGATTCTTTCATCAGCAGGTGATATAGATACAAGAATGGCCGTTGTCCCACAAAGTTGTGGAAGTCGCCGTGGTTGCCCGACATTTTATTTTTTTCATGAGCAACCCTGTAATGGTGATCGATGTGCTTCTTCAAATTGAGGCAATCAGTAGCATTCAACTTGTCATAGTCTGTACCGCAGACATCCTCATCAATGTTGTTGAGTTCCAGCATATCCTGCATATTGATGTCAGACATAGGGATGGAAGACAGTGCAGAATTCAATTCATTGTTGTAGAATTTTGCAATTTCGTGATACAGCCGTTCGCCATTCCTGTTGCCAGCATCCATCTCTTGGCGGTTGGGTTGTTTTCCAAGATTTTCAACAAGATCTCGCATCTCCTCAGCACAAATGGTCATAACAAACCGATATATAGTCCCAGAACTTCGTACAACAGGGGGCAGTGTCGCAGGATTCCTCTTTGCTGCGGTTGTGGGTGCAACTTTCCTCTTGTGGCGGTCATGATTGTTGTCTTGGCGATACATCTCATCCATGTTCATTTGTGAGACAAGTCTTTGTTTTGCAATCATATCACACAGAACTCCCTTCCTCTTTCTAGTATAAGAAGACACTTTGAGGTTCTTCCCTATGACGCGACAGTCAGAGGCTGTGAGATCGGCTGCGGGAATACCTTTGATTGTGCAAAGGCATGTTTTTTGAGACTCCACGCCCACCAGATTAACAGGCTCTTGTGTAACAACAACATCATCCCATGTGACTGTATTCCAGTTCGTTTTGATGATGGTTGCTTCGCCTCTTGTAGTAGCACTTTCCTCAATACTGGCCTCGATACTACTTGTGTTGCATGTTGGAGAACACACAAAGTCAATTTCATCAAAACCCGCAGCTTGACAGCACAAGTTATGCACTGGTTCGCCACATCCTCGGCAAACATGGGCCCCAGGCCCAACCAATGGCAAAGACGGATACATGCAGCCGGTCTTCACGCCACAACGCTGTTCTTGGGATGGGGAAACATTGTTTGAAGCCATTTGTCTTATTGTTGGGTATGCATTGATGTAAAGCAACTGTGTTTTCATCAGAGATGACATACCGGAGGCAGGTAAGCATTCTCAGTTCAGGATTCCAACAATTTTGATTGGTAAATATTTTTTTGGGAGCACGTGCCAAGTCCATGATGCCGTGGTGCATCGTGGTGCATCGTGGTGCATTTCAAATGCACCACGATGCACCATGCTAACCCGGATTTTTGCGTATGTCCGGGTTGGCATGGTGCATCGTGGTGCATCGTGGTGCATCGTGGTGCACTTTTTTGTTTTGTTAAGAACGCGCCTCAGACTAGCCGTGCCGGTGTCTTTTGGTAAATATAATGTGCTTGTTTCGACAAAGTGGACGCAATCAAAAGCGCGCTAAATAATGTATTCGTTAAACAAAACTGCCGTTCACGCAAAATGTAACGTAGGATTTCTACTCGCGATGATCTGAATAAAATTCAGGGGCGGGAGGAAAGGTTGCCCCTTTTAATTAACCGCTCCTTCGAGCGTCGATTCTATCCAACGTCTTGCAGTCTCCAGGTACTGCACGATGTACCAGGTAAACGTACCTGGTACCTGCTAGAGTGCGAGTCAACTTTCAACTTGCGTAATTTGCCGTGTGTTGCAGTTCTATTTGCGTGCAGAAAACAAAAATCAACCTTTCGATTCATTTTTAAAATAAAGCATTATCATGGCTGAAGATTCAGAAGCTGCCGAGGCAGCTCGAGCTCAAGCAGAAGCTCGAAGAAAGAGAATATTGGAGAAAGCCCAAAAGCGAATGGGCAAAGTTAGCGGCGAAGTTGGTCAGGACGACGAAGACAAGAAGCAGTCTGCCTCCAATGCCGCCAGGATTCGGGCAGCCCGTCAACGGCGCTATGGAAGAAAACCAAATCCAACAGAGGATGAGAAGTCGGTACCGACTGAAAATTATGAGAGCGATGAGATAAAGTCAGCCGAAGCACCTGGAAGTAACGAGGAATCCACTGATGCTGTTGAAGAGGATAACTTGGAGAAACCAACCACGGAGACAACTTCGCCAACTTTGGAAGCGACTACAAGTGGCGCCGTTGCTGAAGCATCTGGGTACTCCGAACCTAAGAAAAAATACCTTGGGGTGGCAAGGATGCGCCGCAAAATGATTCTCAAGAAAAAGACCGAAAATGAAGAGGTGAAGGGCAAAAAAGAAGCGCCTCAGGAATCAGTTGGGGTTGATTCTCAGGAAAAGGCATTACCCAAAACGGCAAGAAATTCTATTTACATGCACATTGTGACAATTTTGTTGCTTTTTGTTGCTGGCTTTGACGTCGGCTTGAACCAGTTTCACCAAGATGTTAGGGTGCATCACCAACTCGTCTTTAAGGAGGTTGGCATTCCACTTCTGCACAACTCTCTATCACAACAAGAAGAAAATTCACTTGAAATGGATGTTGATATCCAAAGCCATGGAGATTTGGCAAATGAGTTTGATGGGAGTGACGAGGATGAATCACTGAATGCAAACATTGATCCTCTTTTCAAGGTTGACCTTGATGAACTCACGAAAGGTCCTGGTTTCCTGAACGTGCTTGCTCGAGCAGCAGTCTCGACTCACCGTTTGCTCCTTCGAATCTTTTACTTTACTCCAAAGAACATAATTCTCTCGCTACTCTCGCTTCCACAAGCTCTGGTGAAAAATCCGCCGACACTCTGCCTCTTGGCACTTATTCTTCGTCAAGTTGTTGGCAAGAGAATACTCTCTGCAGGTATTCCCGGTTCAGATTCGGAAGAGAAAGAATCCGGGCTTGACGTTGTAGCGATGATAAAACAGGGAGTCGCAAAGTGGCTCTCGAGTGCTTTTCCCAACGCTTTGGGCATATATGATGCCTTTTCGCACCTCCGATCAGATATGTACATCATTATCTGTGGCGTCTTTTTCGGGCTTGCGTGGTCTCATACGGCCATTGAACTCCAAATTCCGGCCTCTGATTCTGCGACTGCGACTGATGAGCTCTAGGCTAGTCACTACCAGGTACCGTACATTCCAATCCATTGTTGTATTACAAACATGCATTCAGAATTTGGATCTAAGCAGATGTGTCACTGTGACAATTAGTTTTTTAATTAATGCACCACCCTGTAATTTCAACTTTCAACTTGACTTCGTATCAAACAAAAAGCTGACTTCGTGTCAAAAAACACAACCAGGCAAGATCATATAAAAAATACACTTTACAATGTTGCAAGCTGTTACATTACGTCGTGGCGCCAAGTCACTCCAGGCCGCCTCTCGATCTTTCACTCGAAACCTCTCCTCGAAGCCAGCATGGGCAACCATTGATGTTGGCGAGATGGGTAAGCTGCCTACTCCATACGCTGTTAGCAATCTTGTCGGAGGAGAATGGCGGAAAGCAAAGTCAGAGATGTTGATCCCGCATCCGCTGGACAAAAATCAGCACTCTATCTTTTCTGTTCCAGATACGGATGTTTCTGAGTTGGAGCCGTTCTTTAAAAGCATGAGGAAGGTTCCTAAATCTGGAGTGCACAATCCGTTGAAGAATGTAAGTGCATTGTTTCCTGCGCAGTCAGTTTGTTTGTCTATCCCTTTTGGATTCTAACGTGATTGGCAGCCTCATCGCTATGTTGAGTATGGGGAAATTAGCAGATTGGCAGGAGCAGCGCTAAGTGATGAGAAGGTGGCAGAATATTTCGCAGAGCTTATCATGAATTGCGTGGTAAGTTTTACTCCAACCAATACTGATATACAACTTTCTCGTTTCCACTAACCAATGATTGGATCAATTAGCCAAAATCGAAAGGACAGGCGTTGGGCGAAGTCAAAGTCACCGCTGATTTTTTGAATAATTTCGCTGGGGACAATGTCCGCCGCCTGGCAAAGTCGTTTGGTGTTCCAGGTATGTGAGAAATCGTGGAAACCCAATTTCACCTCGCATGTAAGACGCTAATAGCCGCTGCTGTAGGGGACCACTATGGGCAGTTTAGTCAAGGCCACCGTTGGCCATATGGTGCCGTTGGATTGGTGACGCCTTTCAACTTTCCGCTTGAAATTCCAGTCTTGCAACTGATGGGTGCTCTATACATGGGGAACAAGCCTGTCATCAAACCGAGCGAACAAGTTTCGGTTGTAATGGAGCAGTTTGTACGTCTCTTGATACACAGCGGGATGGACCCGAATGATCTTGATCTCTTGAATTGTAGAGGGCCAGTAGTCGAGAAGCTCATCTTGGAGACTCCACTTCGAGTTACACAGTTTACTGGTAGTTCGAAAGTTGCCGAGCACTTGAGTCAGGCGACAAACGGCAAGGTAAAATACGCTTTCGAAGAAAGTGTTCTGGAGGAATTGTTGCTGACTGCTTCACTTGTAATTCGTAGGTGAAAATTGAAGATGCCGGATTTGACTGGAAGGTTATTGGTCCAGACGTCGACGATGTCGACTATGTTGCTTGGCAATGTGATCAAGATGCTTACGCTACAATTGGTCAAAAGTGTTCCGCACAGTCGATTTGTTTCATTCATGAGAACTGGAAGAGCACCAATCTGCTGGCGAAGATGAAAGAAAATGCAGAAGCAAGATCCCTTTCTGACCTAACTGCAGGCCCTGTCCTTACTCAGACCACCAAACAGTTTCTTGATCATGCTAATAGTATAGCAGCTATCGAAGGCGCAGAGATCCTTTGGGGGGGGAAAGAACTAAAAGATCACAATATTCCTGATATTTACGGGGCTGTTGAACCGACAGCCGTTTTTGTGCCGCTGGAAGAGATGATGAAAGAAGAGAATTTCTCTCTTTGTTCGACAGAGATATTTGCCCCTTTTCAAGTTGTGACCACCTATGACGACGACTCTGTTGACTTGGTATTGCATGCATTGGAGAAGATGTCTCACCATCTGACTGCTGCCGTGGTCTCAAATGATCTTGAATTCCAGAGCAAAATCCTTTCAAACACCGTAAATGGGACCACCTATGTAGGACGAAGAGCAAGGACAACTGGGTAAGTTCGCATTTTCTAATGCAGATTTTTCCTTCCAGACATTGTGTACTCAAGACTTTTCATCTTCGACAGAGCACCGCAAAATCATTGGTTTGGACCTGCAGGCGACCCTCGTGGATGCGGCATTGGAACACCAGAAGCCATCCAACTGGTTTGGTCGTGCCACCGTGAAATCGTCAACGACAATTTCGTACCTGATGGCTGGACTCAGCCAAAGGCAACATAAGCAGTATTTCTGCATAACGTAGAACAGGCTTAGAAGAAGATTCATTTTTCTATCTATTGCGCAGCTTCATGGTGACAAGTCAAGTTCACTTTAGTTATTAACTACAAATAAGAGCTTCAAATGACGTCTTCCATTAATATGCCTGCCTGTAATCCAAAGTTTAAAAACACTGGTAAAGTATTTTCAATTTCCGCTCTGTGTTCCAGGTCCGTGAAATATTTTGTCTTGAAACGTGAAACCCTCAAAGGGATTATCACCCATAGGCGTTGTTCCAAAACCATGGTGACGCTGTAAACAAACGGCAAGTGAGTCATTCCCTGAACGGAAAACGGCAACTGACTTATGACAATAATGAGCATACCTGCATACTCTGTGGACTGAAGATCGGCATGCTAGTGAACTCCTTGTCGAACTGACTTGTGTCGCTGCTTCCACTAATCTGCGGAGCCCAGGGAGCCTTGATTTCCCCATCCTGGAGTTGTTGCCAGTCGACTGAAGCAAAGAACGGATGTTGTTGTATATCTTGAGCATCGGCAGGGCCACTGCCAAGCCGCTTAGTTGGATCCTTCGTGAGCAGTCCCCGAAGAAGACTTTTGGCATTTGGGGATAAACTTGCAGGATATTGCAACTCTCCCTTTCGAATTTCTGCAAAAAGTCGCTCCCGATCTTGACAATAAAATGGTGGCAACCCAGTCAGCATCTCATACAAAAGGGCACCAAGGCTCCACCAGTCCACAGCTCGACCATGGCCTTGACGATTAAGAATCTCGGGTGCCAAATATTCAGGCGTTCCACAGAAGCTGTTGGCTCCACTTGAGCTTGAACTTATCCCTTCCTTGGACAATCCAAAATCTGTCAGCCGAATATGTCCTTTGTCGTCCAACAGGACATTTTCTGGCTTCAAATCACGGTATATGATGTCCAAGCTATGAACATGGCTCAATGCTAGGATGATTTCCGCCGCATAAAATCGAGCTCGGGGTTCTGGAAACTTCCCTATCTTTCCTAATTGGAAGAATAATTCACCCCCCGCACAGTAGTCGAGCACAAAATAAAGCTTGTCCTTAGACTGAAAAGCCATTCTCATCCCAACTATGAATCGATGTCTAATATATTCAAGCACACTTCTTTCTGTAATGGTATGCTCGACCTGGTTGCGTTTGATAATATTGTCTTTCCGCAGCACCTTCAATGCAAACATTTCGCCCGACTTGATCTCACGAACAAGGAAAACTTTTCCTGCGACACAACCACAAAGTCAGTCTCCACAGTGATAAAAGAAGGGGTACAACGTAGCTGCCCTGAAATCTTACCAAAGGAACCCTTGCCAATCACTTTGATCATTTTGAATGAATCAAGTCTTGGAGGGGACTCCAATTTTGCTTGGCTATAACTTCCGCCAATACCCAGAGTTGCTTCCTTCATTGCGCTACCAATACCGCCAACGCTAGATCCACCGACAGCTCCTCCAAGCTGGACCCCTGAATGTGCTTGTTCCATAGTTTCATAATGCCCCTGATTCGAATCGGCAGTTTCCTCTTCCAACATTGGAAATCTACTCATGTGTGATGCACCAAGACTTTGACTGTATGTTCCCATACCTTCAATGATCCTCGCTTCATCCGCCATCATCGCAATATCCATCTCATCCTCTTCGGTCACAGGCTCGTCAGTCGGCTTATATCTTTCTGACGGTCTATATTCGTCTTCGTCATCACTATCATAATTGTGTGCTGGGCCAACTTCGTCTCCAGCGTCAAACATATCCACCATCGACATATCATCTAAATTCCCATTGGCCTGGGTGCTTGGTTGGTTTTGGGCATATCCCTGATTTGGTGACGAAGTAATTTGCCCATTTGCATCAAATACCGCCCATGGAAGATTTTCGTATTCCGGAGGAATCATATTGGCTGCATAAGTCAAGAAGTTGCGAACAGCTTGAGACTCTCGGGCTTCCGCATTCATCAAGACTATATTCAACCAGTGCTGCAGATCGTGACGAGCAGACTGAAGCATGTGCATATTCCCTTCAAATCTTTCCAAATTGGGACACGGGGGAATCTCAGCAACTATTGACTCGAGGCCTACGGACATCGCAACGAAATCATCTTGCCCGCGAATAACCGTCCATGTCTGTAATGGTTGAATCACTGTCACTGCATGTACGAGACCACCACCGCCTACAGGAGCCGATGCAGCAATTACGACGCTGAAACCAGCCCCGCTACTAGATCCCTATGGAGAAAGATGAGCAAACATGAGGAACTTGTTCGTCGTTTGTCTTCAAAAGGAAAAACGCCAGAATTTTGATGTTTCCAGTTGAAAGGTGTTGAGATCGGGAATCTTTTAGATCTTCACTGCAGCCATCTGGTTCTATCCAATTCAATAGTGGGATTTCACCCTCAGCTCAACAGGACCAATGAACTGTGCTTTTAAAAAGCAGGTAGGGTGGGCTCTTCTAGGTCGCAACTACTGCGTACAAAACATACTGTACATGGCGACTGGCTGCTTCCAGGGGAGTGCAAACATACTTCCAGCCCCATCATTGCACAAGTAGACCATGTACTGCAACGAATATTGATTCTTACCTGAGACTTTTCCATTGCTGTGGTCTCCAAATTTCCCTAGATCCTTTTATAATATGTAATGGCCGTGATCAGCAGTCTGTACCAGAAAAACTCAAACCCATCGCAAAAACGAATCCAAAGGGGGTTTGACAGAGGATTTATCGCCGCATAAGTATTTCCACATCTTATGCGACATACATAAAACACAAACACTACAGAGTATGCGTGTTACGTGCGTGGAGTTGAGTCAGGTAACCTGTATGCGCGGAATGAAATTGCGCGAAAGTTTTGATTTGGGAAGTCAAACAAAAAACACCACATTACCGTAAACAGAGCGCTTTCATCATGGGTGTAATGGAAAAGATCAAAGAAATCGAGGCCGAAATGGCCAGAACGCAGAAGAACAAGGCAACAAACTACCACTTGGGAACTTTGAAGGCGAAACTGGCCCGTCTTCGTAATGAATTATTCGTTGAACAATCAGGAAGTGGTGGAGGTTCTAGTACGGGTGAGGGATTTGATGTGGCCAGAAATGGAGATGCTCGGGTAGCTTTGATTGGGTTCCCTTCTGTGGGCAAGTCTAGTTTGCTGAACGCACTTACGTAAGCCTCTACTGCGTCATAAGATGCCGCCCTTGCTTGCCCAACAACTTTGGTTTCCTAACAACTGACCCAACAGGAGCACAGAGTCGGAAGCCGCGGCGTATGAGTTTACTACGTTGACGTGTATTCCCGGCGTTCTGAACTACTCAGGCAGCAAGATCCAAGTGTTGGATTTGTAAGTTTATCAAGCTCATCAATATCGTTAATATGAATAAAATCATGTACAAACTACATCGTCGCCAAGTTCTCACAAAAGTTGTCATGCATGCGCTACAAATATTGTTAGACCAGGAATTATCGAAGGTGCCGCTCATGGTGCTGGACGTGGAAAAGTTCGTGATCCAGCTATTGTAGATTGTGGTTTACGCTTCGTGTTGCTAACGTGTTAATAATCTCATACCCACAGGAAGTCATCGCTGTCGCACGTAATGCAGATGCTATCCTGATTGTCCTCGACTCGATGAAAGAAGGTATTTCAAATGTTTTCCCTGTTTGCCTTGTCATTCAGGACAAATCTAAAAAAACATTTGTCTTCTTAAAGGTCTGAACCGCCACAGAGAAATTCTGGAGAGAGAGCTTGAAACAGTGGGCATCCGTCTCAACCAACGGCCGCCAGATGTAGCAGTTTCCAAGCGAAGTGGAGGGGCAGTGAGGTTCTCTTCAACGGTGCCCCAAACTAAACTTGGTCCAGATCCCGAGAAAATCGTTACTCAAATCCTGAGAGAGTACAAGATCGTCAGCGCAGATGTACTAGCGAGGGAAGAAATCACAGTGGATCAATTGGTGGACGTCATTATTGGTAAGTTTCAATGTTGACAACAAAGCGAGACCATTCGTCGTTCTGTACTAATCGAAAAATCAATCAGGCAATAGGCAATACAAGCCCTGCCTGTATCTGTACAACAAAATTGACGCCGTTACCATCGAAGAGGTTGATCAACTGGCTCGGATGCCTCACTCGATGGTAGGTAGTGTCGCGCAGAGATTTAACATTGGCGAACCCATGGAGGACGATCTCTTGAAACAAAACCTGTGGAAATATCTTGGTTTGACAAGGATCTATACAAAGCGCAAAGGTAAGGTTGGTTGGTGACAGTGATCTTGTCAAAAGGTTTCAAAACACTGTTCTGACTTTGGTGTGGGATCTCCATAACAGGGTCGCCTCCAGATTTGGAGGAACCAGTTGTATTATCTGACATAAGAAAAGGAACGACTGTGAAATCACTTTGTGCAAATATTAGTACTCAGCTTCTAAGAGACTTCAACTACGCGCTTGTATGGGGTACCTCTGCGAAACACAGGTCAGTCTTTCATCTATTTTGTTATCATGTTATTGATATCCTGTCGTTGACATGGCCCTTTTTCAAATCACAGTCCGCAGAGATGTGGTTTGAGCCATAAGCTCGATGACGAAGATGTAGTCCAAATCGTTAGCAAAACAATCAAGCAACAACAACTGGACAAGAACTATGGTGTGCTTGCTCAGGAGTACCAAGACAAGCATTCAAAGAAGAGATTGGAAGCGAAGAAAAAGAAGCAACAGCGACTCCGCGGTTGATTTTCAGTCATATCACTATTTGTCATCTGATGTTTTATGTGGATTGATCATTACTGCTTTCTGGTTGTGGATTGTTTGTAGGTACTGTCATTCACTTCTACTGCGTTTTCGGCGCCTTCTTGCTATAGCGACTGTCTTGTCAATAGACTTGTCGCCCACCGACCAATGTGCAAGATCCATTTTCGAAGCAACATAATGAATTAGTTTTCTTTTCCTCCCACCCATTTGCTAGTTTCACAAGAGCAGAAGCTGGGTTAGTTTGCGCTGCCCTTTGCGACCATCAATGTTTCAAGCAAAGATTCTTACCGTAGGGAAAATGAAAGATTTGAATTCCTTAGCTGTGCCTTTGGTTTGTTGTAGAAACCCAACAATCACAACCGCGATTTCTGCCTCTTCTTGCTCTGACCAATTGACGCTCCCAGCGGAGCAAGTTCCTTCAGCCAACTGGGTTCTAGTCATTTCGACGTCTCTTGAGCTTTCCGAATCACGCTCGCCAAAGAGAGAATCATCAATCTTGGCGAGCGCTGGTTTCCATGCCACAACTTCAAAAACGTCAACTAAGAGTCGGAAAAAAAACACTTCTAGACAATATAAACTCACTGATGTCATTTTTCGGGGTTGACTCTAACGGATCCATCTTTAGCAATGCCGTCTTGTATTGGTACCTTTCCTGGAGGAATAGCCTGCGATCAGTCTCCACGAGAGCCTTAGCGGTTCTCCTAGGAGCATTCTGAACTGTATTGAATTCGAGCTCGTTACTGTAATCTGCAGCTTTGGCTAACTTGTCCCAATCATCTTGATCTGAGATCAATCTGCAAAACAAGGAAGACTGTGGGTATGAAATAGTCCTAGTTGCTTGGTGGAAACCTTGGAAAGTTAAGTCATACGGAGAACACATAGATATGTATCAGATAGACGTCCTCACCTGTAGCATGATAGACATCTGGATTCATTGCTCTAGTTGACAGTTTCCCCACACAGCACGGTGCGACAACAATTCCCATCGCACCGGAGTCTCCAGCACGTCGAAGAGCGACATCAGTAGCTTCCCCACACAAGTGTAGTGCAAGTCCAAGGTCAAGGCGTTCATGAAACGACTCTACTGGGCCGTGCCATGCGAAGAGGTTGGTCAGCACACCATCCTTGCCACAACACTTCATAGTGTTGCCACTTTTGTGTACGTTCGGTCTCATGAACCTTCTGTATTCTTGACTTTGCAGAACCTCTTCGACCACAAGGTTGGCTTTGTTATGCATGAGATCAAGAGAGTGTTTCCTTAGATCGACGACGCATACTACTGCGTTTGGTAGCAATAACGCCAAAGGCAAGGCAAGATGACCACTACCACCTCCGAAGTCGACTATAGTACATTCTGTGTTTGCCGGAACAAGCCTCATGATGCAGCGGAGCAAACTTCGAATCTGTCCTTCTTTTCTGGCAGCTCGACGTCGATCTTTCAGTTGTCCTGGGTGGTCACCCCAAATTCTCGCGGAATGTGGAAGATAGTCATGAAATGGCCAATCTTCGCTTTCGCTTCTGCATGCAGGCGGCAGACAAACATACTCAGGTTCTACAATAGGCAAGATATTTGACAAAACCTTCTCGAAGCGTTTGAAATGGACCCCAGCTATCTTTGGAAGGTTACCAGATTCTGTCATCTGGAGGGTGATGCTGTCTGTACAAATTTCAAATAAAAATGTGAAGCCCACAGAGCCAAAAAGTTCGATCAAACGGTTAGGAGTCATACATCTCGTTTCATAATTGGTGGCTAGATATTGCAGGCTTTCCGGGTTCCGATCCGGGTGAGACACAGATTCGGTCTCCAAGAGTAGAACTCGAAGAGTTCCAACTCGAAGAGTCCACGAACTTGAAGTCTCCGCAAGATATAAATCCTGCGTCCTTTTCTTTCCCCTAGGCGGGTGGGTGGGAGTTAAAAATTTCTACCTATTGCTGGAGTCTGAAGGTGTTTTGCTCAAGTTCCGAGTTGGATTGATTTGTGTGCTTTTTGAGGCAGCCGCAAGTCATTTCAATTCGGGGCTTTTCGCAGGCATTCCTCCAGCTTCGTACTTTGTACGGTCTCTTTCCTAAGGTGGTCATTCGAAGTATTCATGACCACCGGAATCTGGAATTCTTCTTCTCTCTTTCTTTTGTAACCTTGCTATACGGTCAGCTGGGTAGAGTTCAGGTTAGGAGTCGTACATCTTGTTTCATAATTGGTGGCTAGATATTGTCCTAGCCCACGCAGGCTTTCCGGGTTCCGATCCGGGTGAGACACAGATTCGGGTCTCCAAGAGTAGAACGCGAAGAGTTCCAACTTGAAGAGTCCACGAACTTTTCTTTCCCCCTCTGCCTTCTCAGATGTACGACCCACAAACATTGCTCTTCCCCCCAAGCAACTGGCACTTCAGTGACAGTATAAGGTGATCTTGACTTGCTCACGAGGTTTCCATTCGCGATAGCTTGTGCCTACTTTTTCGTTGGAGCGGCGGAGGCGCCAACGCCCATGTTCGTAGACCTGGGTTTCAGAGGCAATCGTGAGACGGCGACCGCCGCATGTGTCTTTTCGGGAGACATGTGAGCGGCCACCACGGCGGTAGCAGTGGAGGGACCGGAAGCGACTTTCTATGGTATCTGAAGGGGTACCATCAAAAGGTAGCAGGAGGGGGTCACCTTCCAGGCGTTGTTTGTAGAGACTCGGATAAAGGTAGGTGCTGCGAAAGAAGAAAGAAGTCCATGCAATGCCATTGGCATGGCAGAAAACGGGCCCTGTACGTCGGACCCGGTACGATAGTGCCCGACGGAACCACTTTCCGGTACAGAGGCCTGACCGGGTAATGTGCGCGATGATGACGTCGGCAATGCGGGTGCGTTCTGATTTAGTCACTGGGTTAAGTCGGAAGGTGACCATACCACAGTTCCTAGGGAGGTCCGCTTGTCCACAATTTTCAGGCTCCAGAATAGAGCAGTCTTCCCAATTGAGGCCAAAGCATTCAGCTGAGCGAAGCCAACCTAGCCAAAGGATCAGGTTAGTCAGCCCTGCCAGTGCGATGTCCCGGCGTTGGACGTCAGAAGTGGCTTCATGGAATTGATGGTCCAAGAAGCAATCAAGAGCTCGAATGTGGCGATCCAGAAGGGCCACGGAAGGCCTGGAGTAATCCCCCATTCGTGCTACCATTCCCTTTGCAAACAAGTGGAATGACAACCCATCCGTTGGTCAACAATCTTGGTATAGAACTTTGTTGTCCTGTGACATGTATGCAGTTTGCGGAGTGTTGAGGGAGTCCAGAGATAGCCACTGGGAAGCAGCCGATCGGAGGGCTCGAACTGTGCCAAAGCTGATGGGAGTTTGTGCACCTCGGTCGTGCTTCTTGGTGGAATGGCGGAGGCTGTACCATTCCTGACACCACATGAGGGGGATATCGGGTCCGGAAGGAGGCTCTAGCTAGCAGAACGGTGGGCTTCAGAACTTGGATGGCAAAATTGGACTCAAACTGACGGATGACACTCAGTTTTGACTTGTAGCTAACGTGGGTTCCCTTGGCCCACGATGAGATGATGTCCAACAGTCTGACTTGTTCCAACATCAAGAGGAGGAGATCATCGGCAAGAACTAGTTCACGTTGCAGGTATTGTCGCACAGTGCAGGCTTCACAGACAAAGTTGTTGGGCCAGGTGGCATGGCGTGGGAAGGTCAAGCCTTCATCGCGGAGGCGACGAGTCTTGAAGGGTTCCCCGGTTCGGAAGCAGTCACGGTGATAGGTGGACCCACAGGCACGGAATTGGCCAAATCCTTTAGCTGAAAATGTGCATTGGAGTCGCGTCTCAATCTCCTTGCGGCTGAACCCTTTCTGGCAACCCGCGCATAAGTGTGGCTTGGGCGGCATGCCAAAAGGGGGCGGCAGTGGGAGTCTTGTCCAACCTAGAGTTGGGGTTGAGGGAGAGTGTGTGAGGTGCAATGTAAAGAACAACAATGGGGATCGGCAGGAGTGGCGGGAATCGCAGGTTGGTCTTGTGTGGGTAGATGGTATCAAGTTTGTAGACGTAACGAGACATGTGGCGCCAGGAAGCTTCAACAACTCTGGGCACAAAGAGCAGCGCGGATGCGGTGAAGGGGCATTCAACCCACGAGTTGAGTAGGAAGGTGAGGAGCTGGCGGGCCAGTTCCGGTGGTGGACACCATGCTGTCGTTTGGTGTAGGCAGAGGGATGCTGTCCAGGGTTGGTTCCAGGATCTGTACCATGTCAAATGGGCCATTTGTGGCAGATGGGTCCACACCAACGCCATGTCAAAGGGAACAGGATCAAAGATAGCTTGAGTTAGCCTATCCGAGTCCATGATATCTTGAAGGGCAGACATCCAAACACCGCGGCTGAGGCCATCAGTCCCTTGGGTGATTAGCACTCTGCCCGGTACATGGACCACTTGGAGGACACATTGGAGGTCCAGTTCAAGAAGTCTGATCTCACTGATCAATTTGTGGAGGGAGCGTGTCCTGGAAGAGCCCGTGGTGGCAATCCAATAAACTCCCGAGTTGTCAGTGAAGTAGAAAACTGTAGTCCCAATCACCTGGTGGGCATGGGGGCTTTCTTTGATCCAAAGCAGGGTCTCTTTCAGGGTCGCCAACTCTTTCCATACAGAAGGGAAGATGTAGATGGATGGTTTCCACTTTCCTTGCCACATCTCAAAGTCACAATTTGGGAGCTGTATGGTGCCCCCGGTGCCAGTTCCACTCCCGTCTCCAAAGGTTGGGACCAGTGTTGCAGCTTCCCATCCTCTAGTAAAGAGTCCTTCACTCCGAGTGAGGAATTGTCGCCATCATTGGAGCTTGTCGAGAACTGCGGAGTTGAGGGAAGTGGTAGTGTAGTAGGGTGCCGCTCCATTGCCAAGCCCTGGAGGGTGGACTATGGTATGGAACTCTTTGAGATGAGTATGTCCCAATCGCCGGGGAGTTGCTTCCGTAAGGGACTCCAAAACGCCGACCGCAACTGCAAGACCAAGACTGGACGACTTCTTGTGCTTTGGAGATTGTAGCAAGTAATCGCAGATGGCCAGCGCTCTTTCTTTCTTGGCTTCCGGGATTCGAAGGCAAGGAACAGTTGTGGTGTCAAAGAGGAAACCACAGTATTTGACGACTTGCTGAGGCGGTACCAACTTCTTTGGATGAAAGAGGAACCCACAGTCAACTGCTTTGTCCAAGAAGAATTGCAGCCCTTGGGCTGTCTTTTTGTGCGTGGGCCCATGGATGAGGAAATCGTCTACCCATACCCAGATGTGCACAGCTCCTCCATCACTGGAGGTCAAGATGAATCCGTAACCAAGCTTTGGATCAAATCCATTGTCTTGTAGACCCGTCCAGTATCAGTTAAAATTCTCCTTTACAAGTCGTACAAAGGCGAGACCGATTTGGCAGGCAATGGCTGGACTATTTCCGGCTCCCATAGCTAGTCCATAGTAGGACAGTAGCTCCTCGGTCTTAGGATGCAGGAGACCCAGGTACGGTCGGTCCTCTGGATGTGTCGGAAAATTGTAAAAGAACTTGGACAGGTCGACCACTGCAGAGTATCCTTCAGTGTACATTTGGTCCACAATGTGGGCTATCCTCGGCATGAAGACCCGGTCTTGCCCCACACAATCGTTCTGACCACCTCGTAGCATGTCCGCAATTACCCGCCATTGTCCAGGTTGGCCATCCTTCCCAACCACAAATAGAGGGGCATTGGCGAGGACGGTAAGTCCTTCATCAGTGCTTCGAAGTACCCCAAGCTCAACAAGTTTGTCCACAAATTGGACAGCAGCCTCTAGCATTTCTTCATCCATTGGAGCGTTGGGTCGGAGACAAAGATCTGGCTGTTTCAGGAAATTCTGGCGTGCCCCATTTCACACTTCCTCCCAGTGCTCAGACGGGAAGAGAAAGGTCTGGGGGATGCCAATCAAACACATTGTTGTTGAGCGGGGTGGTTGCCCGGGACAAGTTGTTCCCAGTCTTTGGTCCCTGTGTTGTTCTGGTGGGCGTAGCAGTCGGGTGGTTGAACAAATGTTGTAGTGAGAAGGAAATGTACTCCCAGTGGAAAAGTGGCGAAGTTCGTTGGAGGCTCTTGTGTGACACTTCAGCTTCGTAGCCTTTGGGGATGCCCAGTCCCCGTGCAACTTCTTCCTTCAGGAGTCGCGGAACTCCCTTCTCAGTTTGGATCCATGCTCCTATTTGGTTAGGCATGGGGTCGTGGAGGGAGTGGGGGGTGTGTGTACTGCCAGATTGGGAGTATGACTTGCGCGGTATCAATCCCGGCGGAGTGAGAAGATTTCCCATAGGTCGGATCACTGACATATCTCGATCTAAACTGTCCCATGTCCATTGTGCTTGACAATCAATTCTTGTTCGAACCACCAGTAGCCGTTCTTGGGTGATAGCACCTCCTATTGATGTTGCCTTGATAGTGCAACAATTGATATTGCAGCCCGCTTCTCTCCATCTAGTAGTTGTAGGTTTGCTCGTTGGTCCGTATTGCCACAAAGTTGGGTCGGAGCGCCAGGATTCAATGATAACCTTTGGTCTGTGTTTGGGAGGCACAGAATCCACCATGTCCTCCCATGGTTCTTGCTTGGGGCCGCCACTTGGTCGTGTGTAGTGGCCTTTCTCGATCACCAAAAGATCCACCGGGTGAGTGTCGAGGAGCCCCTTCCACTGATGGTGGGGTCCATACAGCACCACTGGTGGGTCTCTCAAGTCTGTTGGAACAGTCTCCTCATTTTCTCGGATGGAGAATGTTACCTTCATCTTGGGCCATGCATAGCACATGACTTCACATCCACCTCCTATTATGCCCAGGGTTTCCAGTCCTACCAAAGTTGTTGCAGCTACCTTACAAATCTCTATTCCCACTGTTGCCCCACTTGCCCCGACTCCATCTATACGAGTTTGCTCACCTTCCGATTAAACAAGAATACAAACAGAACAGTCAGCTATAGCAGATTAAATTGATATTGCTTTCACAAGTGTGGTGGTGGTGGTGGGTGTTGATTGTAGGAGGCAGTTTGGATGATGAGTGACTGCTTCATTTGGCTTGATGTGTGATGTGTGCATTGTCCCCAAAGTGGAGACCTTTCGGTCGTCCCTTCGGAATGGTGGTCCCCAAAGTAGTAGATGGCCTTTCGGCGGCCCTTCGGATATGTCCCCAGAGTAGACCAAGCGGCTCCTCCGGAATTTTGCTCCAGAGTATACCACATGTGTGGCACCTCCGGTGGTTGCCAGTTTCTCCCCCGGCCTAGGATCTCTTGGGCCAGTTGTCTGATACTTCCTTGATAATATCTCCAACCGGGCGCTCCTTGTTGGCCAAGACGGCAGTAGCAACTTGTTCCGCCGCGACCTTGGCCCATGAGCCGGCATGCCCTGCCAGGGGGGCAGACAGTCTTGTTGTGTTTGAGTTTCAAGGCAGTTTGCAGAGTGCGACTCTTGCATTGAGAACACTTCTTGAGAGTCGAATCTCCTTCCTTGTCCTTGTCCTTGGTAGGTTCCCGGCCTCCTCGACCTTTGGCCGCCCAAAGGGATTCCAACTCCCTTTGGAGCTTCTGGTTTGTCTTGTTCACTCGTTCAATGTTCTTCTCAGTGATGGTGTTGCTGCAAAAATCTTTCTTGCGGGCATCGCAGAGGTAGATGTAATTCTGGAGGAGCAACATCTTCTTGCTGTTGGAGTTCGTGCAAATGTCCAGGAGATTCTCCGAGTGGACCTGGAGTATGACGTAGGCCTCAGAGTCTTCCCAGGCTTCATCTGCGCCCATATCTTTGTGGCGGATTTTGTTGAGCAGAGCCAAGAAGTTGACGTAGGTTTCCTTGATGATGCGGGGCATCAGACCTCGTTCCACATAATCTTCCACAAACTCAGTTGAGTAGCCTAGTCGGACCAGGTAGTGTAAGAACTGGAAGCGTTGGTTCTTGAAGGTGTCTTCTTCTTTCTTGAGGACCTTCTGGCAGGCTTCGTGAAGTTTGTTGCTGCTGGTGATGAGGCCAAGTCCGTGGCGACTTTTGCGACAATAGCCAGTGTCCAGCAGGGCGATCTTTGTGCTGTCCGACCCAAAGGTTTCTAGGAGCTGGTTCATAACTTCCTCACCGGCTCCACCACTTTCACTGTCACCCCCACCTGGCGAGCACTTACCTGGTAATGCCGCCATATTGCTTGCTCTGTCCCACGATCCTTTTATTTTGGCGTTCTTGATGCCCTCCGGCATCATTGCTCGATCAATACCTAAACTGGTAATAGAGATCCCATGAATTTCTTCCTCATTGCCTTTAGAACTGTCCGCTTGAGCAGCTTGGTGGAAAGCCGGCCTTGGGGGTTCTTCCAATATTGCTTGGGAAGTTGATGCTGGAAGGTGGGTAGGATTGGTACTGATTACTGGCCTAGTCCTGTCCACCAGGGTTGGAACAGAAGGAGGTGGTTGCTCCTGTCCCATGTTAGTAGCAGCCAATCGCGTTCTTGCTTCTTGTCGTTCTTGTTCCATCCGTCTGGCTGTGATGCTCATTTTATTAGCTGAGTCCTGAAGCTTTACAAAATAGGTGTGGATGGCCTCAAGAACAGATTGGAGGATGGGCTGATTGTTCTGGGATTCAGCGGCCGCTAACTCCGGTGTTGTTGCCCTCTTCAACAGTGACTTGTTTGGGTGTAGCTCCCTTCAGTGTCTTCTTCCTTGCAATGGGAACTTTCCGCTGGTAGGTAGCCCTAGGTTTCTTCTTAGTTGGGGTGCGCTTCTTCTTGCAAGGAGAACGGTTGGCTGCCTTTGCTTCCAGTCTTGCCTTCTCCGCTTTCAGCTTCTTCAACTTTGCCTCTTTGATCACAGCGATCATTTCATTGATCCTGTTGAGGTCGTCTTGATTGTCGTCGTCTGAGACGTCCAAGAACTGCCCCTCAGATTCCACTTTGCTAGTATTGACATCGGTGTCATCTTGCTCTTCCTCTTCATCCGAGATGGATAGCACCTCATTGGAGGCTCGGTCGAGGTGCTCGTCCATTTCCTTCTTGGTCCGACAATATCCATATTGTTGGCCATGAAGAATAAATTCTCCCGTTTCCTTGTCAATGTCCTTGGTCGATGGGACTCCTTCATACCAACGTGGGGCTGCTCGTTCGCCACTGCTTCGACGTTCTTAGTGGAGCCGGAGTCGGCACTTGTTCTTCAGCTTCCCACATATGATCATGTCTTGCTTGCTGTTTGTCGTGGGCCCGGCAAATCCAACTCGACAGTGGTCTGTTGTGAGATGGACCCAAGCGCTGAGTGGGACCTCTCTGTTGGGATATGACGAAATATGAGTTTTTACGTTCCAAACGAAACTATTCAAGTACGAGGTTTTCGACACGTGCGATCGGAATTTGATCGTGCAAGATGTCGGGATTTGACGCAAGTATGCCGGACG